TGCCACGCCATGTGGGAATCTCCCTGGCCGGCTGGGAATCGAATCCACGCTACAGAGGCTGCGCACAGCTTCAAAGCGCTGTGCTCAACCCATGCGCCACCAGGGAAGCCCTCTACGAACACATTTAAAGGATAACAGCAGGGGCTACTCTCAAACTCCATGTATGATATAAGTAGATTAAAAAGACACCCTACTGAATGGGAGAAAATATTTAAACACTGACAAGAAGTTATCTAAGATATATAAACAACCAAACAATTTAACAATAAAAAAACACAAGCAACCCGATACATCCGATACATGGGCAGCACATACCAACTGATAATTCACCAAAGAGGATACTCAGGAGCCCAGCAGATTCCAGACCTGAATCTGTTCTGAAACAAGAATCGGCTGCATCTAGCTAAACATACACGACTATTTGTGTTTATCAAAGATGACAAAATTTTACACACACACAAAAGATGGGTTTCATTGCATGTAAATTATGCCTCAATAAATAAAAAAAAAACTGCCAAAGTTAAAAAAACAACAGAAAAATCAACAGATTAGGTTACTTAACTGCTTAAGAATATCGACTGGCTGGGCACTTGGGTCCTGGTGGTGCCTGGCTGGACATCACACACCTCATGCGCCCTGGGCCTGCTCCCGAGGTCTCCTTGTCACTCCAGCCACCAAGACCCACCTGCACCTCTCTGAAACCTGCTTGACACACTCCACCAAAGGTCCACCATGGCTCTTCCTTCCTTAGGATACAGGCAACCTGCATTCTGACCTTTTTGTTGTTAACGTCAAGTGTCAAGTCACTGAAAAGCAGGCCATTAACTGAGTCAGGGAAATCCAGTTTAATGGTGAAAGAAACAGGATTTGGTATTTCTGAGCTATTTTAGCCACTAAGTGTGTGTAGGAGGCGCCCCCTGACGCATATTTAAAATTGCAAACCAGACAATAGTCCTGACACAATTCCCCCACTTAAATTTTCTCCGCCGCACCATCACCATCTTAAGTGCTACATATTCTACCTATTTATGTCACTGATGGTCTCTCCATGACCAGGAAGGAGATTCTCTAGGTCTGTTTTGCTAACGGCTGCACCCCTGCACCAACAGCGGCGTGGGCACTGTCAGCAAGATGCTGCTCAGTTAGTACGGAATCAGCGGTGCGGTGACCATCACAGCTGGAGAGGGACGGGCGCGGCTATGAGGGCCAGCACTGGCTGCCATGGAGGCCAGTCCCGAGGTCACCTACCAGCTTCTCAGTTAGGTCTGCTCCTAAGTGGCAGCTGGCTGATGTACATGAACTGATCTGAACTCCTTAGCCTGCTACCAGGACCAGTCAGGGCAAGGTTGCTTCTCTTCCCTATTATGGAAAAGCATGACATATGCAAAATGGAAGAGGAAGGAAATAAAACTTCAGGGACAGGGTGTTATGTCATCACTTCCTGTGGCAATTGGCAATGCCTGTGGAACAAATGGATCGATTCGTGCTGCTGCCCATGAAGACAAGATGCACTTTGAATCAGGATCAACCTTGAAAAAATTCCTAGAGGAGATTGTGTCTGTGAGCCCTGAGGACAAGCGGAGCCCTGGAGAAGCAGCACGCTCTTCAATGACTCCAGAGACAGAGCCCATGACAGTGGCCTGGGGCGCCCATGCAGATGAGACCGCTGAGCTTCCTTCTGTTGCCTGAGTTCAGGAAGAAGGACTTCTTGATAAAGAACCATCTTCTGATGGATGGACACCACCTCCACACAACCGCAGGGAAGCTAGCGAGGAACTTTACTAAAGGAGGCCACAGAAGCCTGCAGGCAGTTTAGAGAACATGATCCTGATACATTAAAATTTAATACAACTGATCTCTCTGCAGCGGCTTGTTGTTAATGGAAACACCAAGCACTGTATTATTGGCAACAAAAATTAAACTTCTGTTGCCGAGTACAAAAAAACCCAAAAAGCTCACTAAGTACTGGTTGAAAGGATGAATGAATGCGTGCATGCACACCAACATTCCCCGAAGCAATGATGGTCTGGTGTGTTTTGTAAACAAACCAACTGGAAATCCCACCTCATCTGGAAATCAAGCTAGTGCCTACCCTCCCTTGATGACCAGGTAGGTCTCAGCCACACAGGCCTTCCCTTCACTTCACCTCAAATGTGCTCTGCCTTGCCCAGGCCTGGCTTCCACACATTGTGCACCCCAGTCCCAAACCTTAGCCGGCAATTTCTAGTCATCGTTCAACCTTCAGCTGAAACCCCCGTTCCTGACCCACCTCCTCCTTAGCCCCAGACTTGATCAGTCAACCTCATAGAGCGCGTCCTCTGTATTTCCTCCTGAAGCTTAACTACGATGTAACCAAGCAGCTGCTCACGTCATGATAAGCTTGGCAGATGTCCTCCATAAGGGCAGGGATGAGGCCTCCCCGGTGGCACAGCGGGTTGAGCACAGCACTATGAAGCTGTCTGCAGCTTCTGAGCATGGGTTTGATTTCCGGCCAGCCAGGGAGATACCCACATGGCGTGGCAGACCTCTCCTGTCATGCCCGCTGCTCCCCTCAGCAGTGCTTTCGGTCTGGCTGTTCTGCTCCCCGCTCTGTCTCTGGTGAATTCTCTCACCATCCCGTGCCTCTGCCCTGTACCCAAATTCTTGTATAAATAAATAAATCTTGAAAAAAAAAAAAAAAAAAAAGAAGAGAGGGGATGAAGGGAGTCGGATACTCTCCAGCGTAGCCCTAACACTTGAGGCGGGGTTCGCAGCAGCGGCCCTGGGAGCTGGGTGGTTGAGAGCTGCACTGCGCGGGAAGTGCCCCAGTAAGGGCTGCTCCTGATAAACCCCCTCCTCAGAACAGGACACTTACTTAATACAATGGGTGAAACCAACGAACAGAAGGTGCGAACAGCCGAAATATGTAAGCTGACCCAGTGATAAATCTGTTGGATGCCACTCGGAAAAATAACGCAGAACAAAAGAAAGTACACTCAGGAAACTACTGCTAACAGAAGCTGAGAGCAAGCCGTTTCGTAAAGAACATACTCCCCTCTCAATTTTTCTACTGGGGGCGAGGGAAGATGGCAGACACCAATTTCCATTTGTCAATGACGCTTAGAGTTTCCCTATTACTCAATAAATGATGGTTAAAAAGTAATGAAGCGGGCCTCCCCGGTGGCGCAGCGGTTGAGCGCTGGGTTGCAAAGCTGCCCGCAGCCTCTGCGGCGCCGGTTCGATCCCCGGCTGCTCCCCGGCCACCGCAGGAGGGTCCCACATGGCGCGCAGACCTCTCCTGCCGCCCGCTGCTCCCCTCAGCAGTGTACTTCGGTCCTTCTGCCTGCTCTGCTCCCCGCTCTGGCTCTGGTGAATTCTCTCACCCTCCCATACTTCTGACTGTACCCAGTGCTCGTATAAATAAATAAATTAAATAAATCTTAAAAAAAAAAAAAAAAAGTAATGAAGCTCCAGGCACCGTGCTGGGCAAGCAAGTCATGTAACTGCAGCACGGTCTAATTCTGTGGAGACAGGAGGAAAGTGTCTTTGAGATTCCTCTCTCTTATGTCCATTTCCCTTCAGTCGGAAGAAAAGCAGGTGCAGACTTGCCCCCTGACGAGGTGCTGTCAGAGACCAGCAGATGGACCCATCGGGGAGCAAGGCTGAGAAAGGGCACCGGGCCATCTCCAAGGGGTGCTCTTGCACAGCGTTCATTCCCAAAGGAGCTCAGAAACACTAGCCTGCATTTCCTTCACCATTACACCAGGGGTTCCTGTCTTAGGCGACATCCCGCCTTTCAGTGGCTTCTCTTTGCCTTCCTTACGCTAGGAATCTGACCACGAGTCTGACTCTAAAACCACAGAGCCTTTTCCTTTGAAACACTTACAACCACTTGACAAATGCCATCTTGGTCTAAACAGCACAGCAAAGCTTCAAGGTCACTACGAGAGAGAGGCAAAGGCTTTTTTTGGTTGCAGGGGAGTGGTAGCATGGCCCTGAGATAACCAAAACCATACCTGGAACAGGCAGCGTTGATAAAAGGATCAATGCAGAAAAAAAGAGAAGGGCAGCAGAGTGCTGAAGGCAGGCCGCTAGGAAAAGCCAAAGCAGACAGCGGGCAGACCAGTCCTGGGGGTAGCAGCATGGGCATGATGCAGGAAACCACGGGCCTGCGGCTGCACTGCCAGCTGTGGACGGATCATGGGCTCCAGACACTAACATCCTGAATGACACTGATCCTCACCTTCCCTACATGCATTCCTGCTGAGGAATGTCCCTCAGCTCTTCCCCAGGTTACCAGGGAGGCTGGGCTGGACTAGCGTGAGCTTGGAACCAAGTACACTGAGTGACAGGGCCCGGGAATGGTCTGTCTATAAAGTGTGCAGCCCAGGGTGGGAAGGGGTCAGCGCCTTGAATTCTACACAGATTCAGACTAAAGGAAAGTGAGCTCTGGCAGGAATGACCCCGCTGGCCAATCCAGCGGGGAGAGAAGCTGGAAGTCTCCAAACAGAACTGCTGCCTTTTCAAAGGTTGCCTTTTCACATGAAAGGCAAAAGACTTGAAAGAAGAGAAATGCCTAAAGGAAAGAAGTGAGGCCTCCCCACTATGAGACTGTCAAGCTCAAGGTCATCACTGCATTTTCCCAATCAGTCGTCTGCCTTAGAGCAAAACATCAACTCTGGAACCCTGAGAGTTCCAGAGTATTAAAAAAGAAGACGAAAAAGATTCTGCCTGACGTAACAGCCTTCGTGTCTACTGCACAGAGACCAGCAGATGGCCAGTGCAGGGCAGGTCACCAAGACAGGCTCAGAGGCGGCTAAGGCAGCTGTTACTGGCAAGCTAAGGACGAAGATCCTCCAAGAGCCCAACGTGCTCCCCAAATTAGTTATCCACTGCTCTTAAAAACCTCAGGTTAAGGAGGCTCTACAGGGGGTGACCCGGGCCGGCAGCCCTGCTGCTCCCGCAGGCAGTTCATTGCTGTTCCAGGAAGATTCAGACAAACACGCGGAGGAGTAACATACCCCATGGCTGCAGAGGAGGTGGTCTGCTTATCCTTACATTCCTGCATGTTTAGCAATTCAGAGGCAGGCTTCCAAGATGAGTTAAAGTTGGAAGTACTCGTAGCTATATGAATAGGGGAGAGAGAGACACATATTAACTGCAGTAGGATCAAAGACCCAGACATATACAAGCGAATAATCGGGGCCCACGCTCCAGCAGAATGCGGCCTTATGTAATGGAATCTCCTCAGTGAGTCTGCAGCGCTGTGCTCCCCGGGGCTCCTGGCCTCCTCTGCTAGTAAAGATTGTGGAGTCAAGCTCTGTGCCATTTAATCATATGTACCAGTGGAGGGAAAAAGAATGTCCCGGCCAGCTTTTGTGGAGCAGAGCTGAGATAGCAGCTACTTGCTTGGCACGTCTTGGAAAGAGCAAAGAGAGAGGTGGGCGAACAGACAGGCGGGGGAGTCCTTCCGTCCCCCTGCCCCCCCTCCAGTCAACCACTCCTTTGCAAGGGCTTTTAAGGGTCAGAGTCCGTGGTGGGTGTTGAGAACACAAAGGTGTCTACGGTACTATCTCTTCTCTAGCGGCGAGCAGGCCTGGTAAGATGGACACAAAGAAAACGGTGCTGGGATGAGAGCGGGGAAGAGGCCGAGCGGTCCTGAAGGGAGGAATGGCAAGAGGGACCGGTTCCTCGCCGCCCTATCTTGGGCGTGTCTGCTTTCACGCCGCTGTCTGGTGCTCTGTAACTGAGAACTGTGACCCAGAAGACTAGCTGACACGAGCAACAAACTAAGGCCTGAGCCAAGCTCTCAGGTCTCTCGTCTCTGACAGAGACTGCGACCCAGGTAGGGGCGGGTCTGGGCAGCTGCTTTCTTCCCTCCCTCAGAGCCGCCTCCAGCGACGCTTCGCTACCACCGCACATATCTAATCTTTCACATTCAAAGGTGCATACACCTTAGAAATTTTTGCTTCCAAAATGAGAATGGCAGTCACGCCACCTCCTGCTGAGAGTGGAATAATCCTAAGTGCTGGCAGATTTTAAGTTTATAAATAATGGAGTCTCTCAGCTTGATTTCAGACCTATTCAGCATAATGCCAAGATTCTGCTTGGTCCACGTACTATTGAAAGAAAACATCACAGAATTCTTTCCTTTTCCCCAGAAGGTTCAAAGGTACCTGAAAAAGTCACCTTGTTTATGCCGTTTCATATCTATTTCAGATGCCTTACAAAGGGTTTTAATATTTGAATTTTTCTTAGAAACCTTTACTGTTGAATAATGGTAATTCTTTTTTATGTACATCAAACCACCACGCCTTTTTAGTCTTCCAAAAAAAAAAAAAAAGTCTAACCTGATATGTGTTCTAAGCAGTGATGAAACTAAAAAAATAACCATATTCAGTCCAAACAAGAATATCTGATTCACAGCAGTTTCTTAACCTGGGCACTGTTGCCACGTTGCGGATGAGGAATCCCCTGTTGTGGGGCGCCCTCTGCAACTTCAGTTGTTTGCAGCGCTCCTGGGCGCTACGGTAAATGCCAGCAACACAGCCAACCATTTTTGGGGGGAGGGTCAAACTAACCTTTGGTTGAGAACCACTTGTTTGTACAAATTATAAACTGGTGACAACCGATGTACTTGAGGCCAACTACCTAGAAATGTGCATGTAGAGAATTCTGGACAGCCACAAACCACTGACAAAATGTAAACACTGATGAGCTGGTGGACATCCTCTGCCAAGGCTGAACTGCAGCCTGAGGCACTGTGCGGCCAGGGGGAGGACAAGGGCTGGGGCCCGGCTCGTACCACCTGGCAATGGGCAAACTGTACCACTCTGGGCCCAAACACTGCTAAAAAGCCAACACGCATGTCCAGATCTACCTCCTGGGGTGGCTATCCCCCCCCAAAATGAGATCAAGACAATTTTCACATTAGTGGGGCTCTAACCGCGAAGGTTCATTCATTTGAGGCTTGTCTTGTTTTCTGGCACATCCTGTTTGACAAACAGCAGCAAACCACTGCTGCCTGCCTCCCTTGGAGGGCGCTGTGAGCAGACTTAAGAAATTAAAAATGAAGGGAGCATTGCCAAAAGCAAGGACTAACAGCTTCATCTAAAACCACTGACTTCCCACTTAACTGAATGTGGCAGATCTCAGACTCCTCTTAAACACCAAGGTTTCAGGCCTCGTCTCTGCCTTCTTGGAACTCTCCCCAAGACAGGGAGGGCACTACCACACCAGTTTTCTCTTTGGAAGGCAGCAGTGTCTCCTGGCACCTCCTGTGGGGCCAGGATCAGTGGGCAGCAGTCCCCGCAGGTGTGCGGCCACAGCTCTTACCTGGCACCTGACTGGCCTTCTGCCGTCTCAGTGCCGCTGCACCGGCCGCCTGGGGAGCTGAGATGGGGTGGGAAGGACCAGGGGCGCTGTGTTTCACGGTTTTTGTTGCAAGCATTGTGCTATCAGCCCCCTGAGGAGTGATTTTGCTAGTAGATGTAGATACTGATGGAAAGAGAAAGATTAAGTGAGAGAGTGGGACACAGACAAGTTAAAATGGTACATACTCCATATCAGGTAAGAGAAAATGTTAACACTAAATACCTGTGTTAGCACAGGAAGGCCCAGCACGCAACAGGCTGGCCCCGAGCAACGTGCCTGCCTGCCGCCTCTACAGCTGAAACACTTCACCCAATTGCTTCTTGACACTGAGATGAGCCTGTAACAAGGGCTGAAGCCAAAGGCTACTACAGGTGGTGCCCCCTGGAGGGGGAGAAGCGGGTGAGGATGAATAGCCCCAGAAATATACCCAGACAAAAAAGATGAGTGGGGGTGAGATAGGAAACACAAAGGGCTGCAGAAGCAGGCCCCGGGATCAGTCATTCCATCCGATCTTTGCATCTATATAATAGTGCATTTTCAACACGTACCCAGGGCTGAAGCCAAAGGCTGTTACAGGGTCGCCCCCTGGAGGGGGATGCAGGTGACAAGGACTAGCCCAGCTGAAACACGCCCGGACAAAAAGAATCCGTGGGTGGAGACTCAGATAGGAAATATAAGGGGACTTGCAGGGCAGCCCACAGGATCAGCCATCCCAGCCCCCACCACGCACATCTTCCAGAAGGCTGTGCGGGCCTCCGAAGGACGTGGAGAGGCTTCCAGCAGCCAACTTCAGAGGAGAAAAGTTGAGGCTTTGCAGGTAGCCAAGCGACTAAAACCGTCCCCGGCTTTGCTGCTGTTACAGCCAGCAAAGACCCAGAGCTGGGCACCTCCCTGAGTGGCGTGAGCGTGGCTGCTTGTTGGGCCGTTCGGCTGCTGCAGCTGCTGTTTTGTGCTGCTTGTCTGACTGAGCTGGCACATCTCAGCAGCTCCGCTGAGCATCTCCTGTTGCGTCTTTTGCTGTTGTTGTGAGCTGGATCCCAGACTACTGTCTGGCTGCCAGGGGCTCCAGGCCCCCACTGGCGGTAAGACGCCATATTAGATGTCTCCAGTTTAGGACTTCAAAACATGGACACCACTTGGGGTGAGATAACCGGCCACTTGGGGCCTCAGTGATTCTTTGTTTTCCCCTGTTTGTTAAATAAATTTTATTATTGTTGTTCCCTGAACCTGACTGGTCTTGCAATTGTGTGCACGGATGGAAAACCTAACAGTGACCAGTAAACTCTTTGGGTACTGTCCTTGGCCAGTTTTAGTACCCTTATCGCCCAGTATCAATGTGACTTTCATGCCAACATCTGTCAGCTGCCTGCTCTCCTCTCCAAGAACCTCTCGATTCCAGGACTGGCACCACAGCGAGAGTGCCCTGCCGGAGCCCCAACACCTTGGATAGCAGGTATCAGCACGCAGGTCCCGGCAGTGAGCCAAGTCCCACAAGCTGCATGATAGCTGGTGAGCTTTCAGACAGAACATGGCTACAAGCAGTGGGCTGAAAGAGCCAGAATTTGAAGGGCATGACTGTGAATGTTGCTTGAACAGGAAAATAGCCCTGTCCTTTCACTCCTGAGAAGACCTGTGTAGATAAACAGAAGCTGGTCCAGCAGTGATAGTATGGACCCTGTAGAGTCTCCTCTTCACAATATCCTGCCAGTCGCTTTCCAGGGGAACACCCCTGTTTTGAATCAGTCTTCTGGTTTTCTGGACTATTAGCAGAAAAGTGCTGGACCCAATGACTGACTGGTATGGTAGTATAAAACCCAGTTACAGCTCCCTCATTAGTTACAAACCTAGCAGGTGAAAAGATAACTTTCCATCTGGTTCTTTACTTACGCAAATCTCCCATCACACCAGGAGATTTAGTGAAGATGGAAGATGTGCGAGTCACGGGGGTATGGCGAGGGGCCTGGGTCGCAGCATCGTCGTCTTTATAGGCTGGGCGCGCGTCTTCGTTCTCCAGAGACTGGGAAATGGATGAGGTTGAGCTGACTTCATCCAAGTCTTCGTAGTATCTCTGAGACAGGAAGGCGGACCGAGACAGGCTGGCTACAAAGCCCACGACAAAAGACAATTAGACAATGCCAGGCCAGCCCGAAAGTGAACTGTCACTGTCGACCGAGAAACATCTCATTTGTAAAGTGACGTGACTACTTTTTATTTTACGTGGGAGCGGCGGCCACCAAGTGGGAGCAAAGAGAGCTGGGGCAGGGTCTGTGCTCGAGCAGGGCTGTGGGCAGCTGAGCCGGGGAGCGGGGGAATGTTGTGACTGTCGAAAAAAAAGTAAGACGTGAGAGCCGAAACGAAGCACCAGAGTGAAAGGCAGAAGACCCGGGCCTGCACCAGTTCTCACAGGCAGAGCAGCAAAGTCAGGAGAGTAACAGACATGCTCCTGAGCAGATGAAGTTCTGCCGCTGCCCTCGCTTGCCAGCGATGGCTCCAAGAACAGGCAGGGTGCAACCTGGACGAGCCGCCACGCCCTCCATCCTGAGTGTCGCAGACACGTCCAGATAAATCTAATGAAATTCAGTGACCTTCCCTGGTTACTTTTCCTCCTACAAACCACAGATGCGTAAAGCTTCACCTGTGTTACTTCCCACCATGAGCTCCAGCATGCATGTGACTGCGTGTGTGCCACAAAAGTAAAAATCAAGCACGACAGCAGCCCTTTCCCCTCGAGTTACTGAAAAACACTGCTAGTATTTCCGGATCATTTGTCCTGTGGCACATCACTGCGAGATTTCCTCTCTCATGATGTAACTGCAACATAATAGACTATGACCGAACCAGTGGAACATGCTGGGCTCCTCAACTGGGTGGCCAAGAGCCAAGTGTAGTTATTAAATTCAAATAATGTAAAGACTAGAAAACTTCAACACTTCAGTGGTGCCAGTCATATTTCAAATGCTATTTCAAATAGCCACAGGTGGCTCCCACATTAGCCAGCACACGGAACATCTCTACTACCACAGAAGGTTCCACTGACAGGTACCATGTGGGAGTTTGGATGAAGTAAGGATGCAAGTGGGCCACTTAGGAATTCCATCTGTGGGCACAGCAGCACCAGTGAGCTGCAGCGAACATTTATTGAGAATTTACCTGGAGCCCCGTGCTGCCCTAGGCATCTGTGGACCTCAGCCCACTTAATCCTCACACTTATACCATGAGTTAGAAATTGCTGTATCTCATGCATGGTTGATGCTTAGAAAGGTTTTCTGTGCAGGGCCTCCCTGGTGGCACAAGGGGTTAAGAGACAACCTATGAAGCTGTCCACAGCCGCTGCAGCATGAGTTGGATCCCCGGCCAGGGAGCTACCCACATGGCGCAGCAGACCTCTCCTGAGTCGCCCGCTGTTCCCCTCAGCAGTGTATTTCAGTCAATCTGCCTGTTCTGTTTCCCACTCTGTCTCTGGTGAATCCTCTCATCCCCCACACCTCTGGCCTGTACCCCAGTTCTTGTATGCATAAATAAATAAATCTTTGAAAAAAAAAAAAGGTTATCTGTGCAAGGTCATGAGGCTGGGAATGGCAGAGGCAGAATTCAATGCAGGTGTATCTGACTGAGAGACCCCCTTCTCACCAGCACTGTTCTGTTAGAGCTGGACCCTGTGCAGGCAGAATTCTAACCCTCTGCGCCCTGGGCCCATGCCCGGGTTATGTTGTGATAGCTGCATCAGATGGCAAAAGGAATTTTTGCAGGCATAATTTGGGTTTCTTGCCAATTCACCTTAAAATAGGGAGATTATCCTAGATTCTACAGGCGAACTCTTGGAGGCCGTCCAGGCTCAAAGAAGGCAGAGAGGGGCAGTACAGCAGGGTCGGGCGTTAGCAGCGGCTCACAGAAGAGGGGCTGGAGAGCACAGTCAGGGAGACAAGGACCCGAGTCCCACAGCTGCGAGAAATGGGTGAGCTGAGAAGTGGAACCTCCCCCAGAGCCGTTCCGGGCCTGGATCTGTGACCCACACATACTACTGTGCGATCGTAAACAGAAGGTGATTTAAACCACTAAGTCTGTGAGAGGTCATGACAGCATCCTGGAAAACAATCACAAGCCTGCAGTCTCCTGGGCCACGCTGCTCTCAATAGTTTCTCTAAAATTTCATTTCTAAAGCGATAAAAGAGGACTCAGATATGTCGCCCTCGAGAGCTGGCTAGAGAAGCTGAAGGGACAATGCAGCCCCAAGGGACGAGTCCCGGTTTCCCTCCTTCCCTTCCCGACCACACATTGGCCCTGGGAGGAAGACCGCCAGCTGCAGATGCAACAGTCGTGCCTGCTCGCAGGGCCAGGCGCTTGATGGCCCACTCTCCCCGGGCACTGCAGTCTCAGCTGGCACGTGCCGCTCCCTGCTGTGACCAGCAATCGGCTCCCTGGCACCAGGAAGGCATCAGAATGCTCGACTACCCCTCTGGAACCCAAAGAATCTCATTCTGCTTAAATGTGATGTCATAAGGAAAGGGAGAGAGCTGCATCAACAGGGAGAAAATAGAGAACGCGCGGTCATCTCCACAGGTGCGGCAAAGTGCTGAGCTTATGGGCCATCGCAGAGAGTTTTCCTTTGAGATCCAGGCAAGGAGCCCACTGGTCATTCACTGGCCTCTGCACTGCAGGGCCAGGCCAGTGAAATAAAGTATGAAAAACAAATAAAAGGAATGAAAAAGGAGAAATGAAGCACTTTTATCCATGAAGGATGTAAATGTTTCCACACGAAAAATAGTAAAAATAGTTCCGTACAAAGCCCAAGAAAGAACCAGACACCCGAACACAGGAGTGCAGGGAGGCAGGTAGCCGCATACAAAGCCAATGCTCCAAAAAATCTGACGGTCTGATGGCATCTAAGGCCCCGCATCTGACAGAAAATAAAACATAAAATTAAAGAAAAGGGGCCTCCCCGGTGGCGCAGAGGTTGCGCACTGGGTTGCGAAGCTGCCCGCAGCCTCTGCAGTGCCGGTTCGATCCCCGGCTGCTCCCCGGCCACTGGAGGAGGGTCCCACATGGCCGCAGACCTCTCCTGCCGCCTGCTGCTCCCCTCAGCAGTGTACTTCGGTCCTTCTGCCTGCTCTGCTCCCCGCTCTGGCTCTGGTGAATTCTCTCACCTTCCCGCGCTTCTGACTGTACCCAGTGCTTGTATAATTAAACGAAACAAACAAATAAATAAATAAATCTTAAAAAAAAAAAACAAAAAAAAAAAACACTGCATTTAAAAAAAAAAAAAATTAAAGAAAAGCCCACCGTTCTAAGTGCACGAGGCGTGCTCTCGTAACTCTTAGGCAGACGTCCAACAGAAGGCAGGCTCGGCCTGCAGGCAGGAAACATCAAGGAAGGCAAAGACCCGAGTGACCGTACGAGGGGCGTGGGGATCAGCGCAGCACAAAAGCCAGCTAGAGGCTCACCTCCATGCCCCTCAAAATACCCACGTTCCTCTGTGGATCGAGGGAGGTGGGATTTAACAAGACAATTCTAATATTAACATGGAAATGGACAGCACCAAGCAGAGCCAAACATTCTACCTCATGGGTCAGCCAACCGTAACCACCGTCGGTCGGCCATCTGCTTTTAGAAATAAAACTTCACTGAAAGACAGCTGTGCCCATTCATTTACATCCTGTCTGTGGCTGCTGTCCCTGTACGAGGGCAGAGCTGAGGTTCGAAGAAAGTAACAGGAGCCTCAAGGATGAAATACTTACTCTGCCTTCTAAGGAAAAGCTTGGAACCCCTGCTTTATACTGTAGAACTCTCTGTAGTGATGAAATGCTCCCTGTCTCCCTGCCTCCCATTCCAGCAGCCACCCGTCACATCTGCCAAGCAGGCACCAGAGATCTAACAAGCTAACAGTACTGGGTAGCTGAATTTTTACCTTTATTGATTTTCATTCATTTGAATAGGCTATCACCCTGGCCACACAGCCTCAGGGGCTGGCAAAGAGCAGTGCTAAGACTATGTTAGCACTAATTAGGGTGGTGTGCCAGTAATGTTTACTGATCACTGTACGAGGCCAGGAGACCCATAGGCATAAGGATAACTGATTTATCGTAAGAGTGGCTGCCTAGCAGGAAGAGTCTTTTTCAATGAAGAGTTGGGAAAATCAGATGTCTAAATACAACACACGATACAAGCTATACTTTCATATCATACATAAAAATTGATTCCAGATTTTTGGGGCACTCTGTTGACAGCACAAACAAACCAGGGCACATCCATGCAATGGAAACACCGTCAACGAAAGGACCTGCTGAAACAGGGGACGCAGCGTGGGGCGCCACAGACTAAGGGTGGGGAGCCAAGGTGAAGACAACATGAGTCCGTGAACAAGCAATTCCTAAAACGGCAGCTCCACAGAGAAGGAACATGGAGGAGCCTTGGCTGGGACAGAGGGAGCGGTTACAAGCCAATGCGAGGGAACTAGGAGCGACGGAATGTTCTAAAAGTGGACTGTGGTAACAGTTACACGATTCTATACATTTACCAAAAATCACCAAACTGTACACTTACAACAGATGAATTTTATATTTAAATCATGCTACATGAAATGGTTTTTAAAAAATCAATTCCAGATAAAGAGCCCTATCACTTCTTGGCCTCTTGGCTAAGATCATGTGTCCAGATAAAGAGATCTAAATTTGCAAGATAAACCTTATCATTCCTAGACAATAAAGACACGCACATGCTTGTCACCAAGAGACTTAAACAGAACACAGAGCACTGCAGACAAGCCTGTATCATTACGGGGTTAAAAGGCAACCAAGTATCTGTAACGCCTATAGCCAACATAAGGCTGGTATCCAGAATTCATTAAAACTTACAAATCAATAAAACAGATTACCCAGTAGAGCAAAAGATTTAATCAGATACTTCATTAAAAAAAAAAAAAAGATTTAAATGATTAGCAAACATATAAAAAGGTCACACCAGAATAGTTAAAAGGAAAGACTGGCAAGGTCAAGCCTGGCAAGGGTGTGACACTGTGGAATAGTCACACGTCGTGGTAAACGCATGAAGACACACAACACTAGATGCCAGAGCCCACTGAAGCTGGTGTGTGGGCAGAGCGTGTGCTGAAAAGCCCACTCCGGGCTGTGTGAACAAACGGAAGGAGCACAGGTACTCCGTGAGCGCTGTGCACGCCAATGTTCAGAACGTCCTATTCTACTACAGCTACACAGCTGATGTCCACCAAGAGGAGACTGGATGCGCACAGGGAGCGCGTTCACAAAGCAACAAGACAGGGAACAGCCGCATGCAGTAAGGATGACTCCTACAAGGCTGATGTGGAACAAGAGACACCCTAGAGACTGAATGAATGAACTAACACAGTCTGCGGAGGCTCCAAACCAGCCCAAACCAAATGACAGCATTTGAGAAGTTTAAGTAGTAGAACTCTAGACAAGCAGAGAGTGTTGATGCAATGGACAGTCCTGGGTTAGAACCCAGGTTTTAAATAGTGACTGAGCAACACGTTAGGGGGCAGGCAGCTGGCAGACTCTGAGAGTGGACAGCAGGCTGGCTAACAGAATACCATCAGTGCTAATTTCCTGAACAGATCACCCCATCGTGGTTGTGTAGGAGAAGGTCCTTGTTCTGAGACGACACAGGTCCTGCCCGCAGCTTATCTTCAAGTAATTTATCAAAAATAACCATCCCGAGGGCCTACCCCGGTGGCGCAGCGGTTGAGCGCTGGGTTGCAAAGCTGCCCGCAGCCTCTGCAGTGCTGGTTCGATCCCCGGCTGCTCCCCGGCCACTGGAGGAGGGTCCCACATGGCGCGCAGACCTCTCCTGCCACCCGCTGCTCCCCTCAGCAGTGTACTTCGGTCCTTCTGCCTGCTCTGCTCCCCGCTCTGGCTCTGGTGAATTCTCTCACCCTCCCGCGCTTCTGACTGTACCCAGTGCTTGTATAAATAAATAAATAAATCTTTAAAAAAAAAAAAAAAAAAAAAAAATAACCATCCCGAGTACTCATGTGGGGAGAGGCTGTGCAGACACCGCTGGAGTCCCGGGTCACGGGCAAGGGGATGCTCACGGTGTTATTCTTACAACTGGGAATTTGAAATTTTTAAAATGATAAGTAGAAATTAAAAATGTCAAAAGAAAAAAATCAAATTAATAAAAGCAAATGCTACCACCTTCTATGCCCAGGCAGTAGTGTCTTTGGGGAGCAGGAAAATTGGGGCTGCCCAAGAGGGGCGCAGGGAGATGGGGGCCACAAGTTCTGGTTCTCAATTTTGCCGAAGGGGACACAGATGAACGTTTCTGTTCTGGGCACTTGCTGCCCGAGGCTGTTCACGGTTTTGCAAGATAAGATGCCATGATGTTGTATCCGAATTGAAGAACGGTAGTGATTTTTTATTTGTTCTTATACTTTTCCATATTTTTCTAATTATTGACCAAGAGAACATATTCTTTGGATAAGGAAAAATGCTAGTTAAAAATTCACTGGATTACAAATATTGTTTACTTCTTTAACTTCTTTATCTTAAATAATTATAGAAAAACCAACAAATTGCAGCATAGTAAGACTATTAAATTTCCTTGTGCTATTTTAATTACCAAAAGGTATTCTGGTTGTTGGCATAAAAAAACAGTTAAACTCAGAACAGAATTTCAAAGAAAAAAGCATATGTGGGCATTAAAGCAAAGCCAGGTTAGTTGTGAAGTTATGAAGAGCAAGTATTTCAAAGAAGAAATTTCAGGTAATTAGCTAGACAATTTAATCACAAAAATTCTTTTCAGCAGTTACGTGGCTCTTTCCAGCGAGTATGTTTAGTCCCCACTGCCTCGTCAGTAATGCTTTCCACTTTCTTAAGGAGGCTTCCCCCACATGCAGTCTTACCCAAAACCCCACACAAGTCGGAAAAGGAAAGCCACTCCAGCCAGGCAGAGGCGAGGGTCTCCGGAGTGCTCAGCCATCCCCGAACCCTTGGGAAGCCTATCACATGAGCTAAGGTCTGCAGAAGACACAGGGGAACCCCCAAACAGCTACCACGAGCTGCCTCATCAAACACGCATGAGCTACTTTTTACTCCAAAACTCAGACTACAGTCTGGGGACACTGTCTCTATCACCTATTAGGAAATGAAAGCCCAATCCCACCCCCAACCTAGGTATGGGTTTGTGGTAAAAAATGCAGGGCCTGTTCCTTTTACCTGGAGCAGTGGATCTCACTGGTGGGGTCTTCCTCTTGGCCAAGAAGTTTCTCAGCTGTGCCTGTTTCACGGGGGACAGTTTAGCTGCAAGAAATACGTGAGCCCATAAATGCTTACGATTCGGTTCTTTTGAAGTCAGTAGACAGAAGAGAACAAAGCGACTCAGAACTGACTTACCTGGTACTTTGGGCAAGGGTTTGGCATGAGAGTCTATGGTGGTTTTCAACAAAGCATTGCGCAGGCTTTCAAGGTCACTATCAAAACTGAAACAGAAGAGTGTTACAAACCAACCAATCACTACCTAAGAATCTGAGGGGGTGGGACGGGGTGCGGGCAGTGGGGAGTACTAGCCTTCTAAAGACAAGCAGAGATGAGTGTATCCCCCCAATCAATGTCATCAGTCCAAAAGGCAAGGCAATGACCCTAACATGACATCCCACCCTGCCACACGCAACACTGGTTAAAATCTACACATTCAGCCCACAAGGGAAACACAAACCCAACTTGCTAACTTCAGGGGCAAACTAACGGCTAGGCTGAGGGCCACCACACTGAAGCAAAATTACCAAACTGAGCTTTAAGACAGTAAGTCAACCTAAACTTGCTTCATCGGCTCATGACCCGGTGCTTTCCAGGCCTCCCTCTTCAGTCACCCATGAGGCAGCAGTTAGAGCCAGTCCGGGGGCAAAGCAGCCAGACCAGGACCACACAGGTGGCAGATAGCAGAGGAACTTTAAGCCCCATCTGACCCCCTAGGCCCTGCATCCCATCTCCTCACACCCTTTACTGCGTGCCGGGGGCTGACAGGCCCACACACCTGTGCGTGGAGCTAGGGGCAGGCGAGCCCGAGGACAGGCTCCACGGGGATGTCTGCTTGTAGAGGCGGAGCTGCTGGAGACTGTCCACCAGGTGGTTCAGCCTCTTCCTCTGCTGGTTGATGATCTCGCGATTGTTGGCCAGGGTGTTGAACAGCGTCTCCCGCTCTGGCACAAGCAGGCGCCTGTGTCGATGAGGTGTGAAGAAGTAAACACGAATGGTCAGAGGAAAGACACCTCCCACCAGGAGGGAAAAAATCAACTATTTAACAGTGAAAGGGATAAAATGGAGAACCACTAGTGACAAGAGTGAAGCAATTATTAGAACAGAAAGGGGGGTGAAAACCTACTGAAGCTGAAGGGGAGCACGCAGCCATGGACACACAGGCCAGCTGCACCACAAAGGCACAGGGTAGAAATCTGGGAAGGGCCTGAAGCGGTGAAACGCCAGTCAACTATGTGGATGTGAGAACTTGAACTCTGCAGAAAGGGGGCTTGAATAAAAAGCCTGTTAGGTAGTGACTCCTGGGAGTTGTCATAAAGGAGAAGAAAGTCCGGCTTCTGTCAGCATCACACACTTGTTAAAAAGCCAACTTATCAATCAGCCAACAAAGAGGATTCTACCGCCAGGCAGAGCAGAGTTCACGCTGCCAGCTCCAGCCGACCTCCCCAGGAGGCGAGGGTGGGCCCAAGGCTGTGGACTCTCCAGCGGGTCCAACTTTCTGGGAACCAGCACCACAGATCCCAGGGTCCTCCCCGACCAGCGTCAGGAGGATCTACAACCTGAGCTGCAGCTCCTGGGCTCAGACACAAAGCCTTTCTCCAAGGCACCGCACGCTGTGACAAATTTTGCTTAGAGAAGTTTAAGCACCTCCCAGCCCTGCCCCTGACATCACACCCAGTTGCCCCACTTCAGCGTTCTGTGATCCACAGCTCTGTCAACAAGTTAGCAGATCATCTCTCGGCTGGTTTCTGCTTTGGGCTAGTCACGCCAAGCACAGGTGTGTCAGAATCTAGTGTTCTTATGGCTAATTTGCTTTTTGAGTTTCCTATGGGCACTTTACTGCTCTCCGCAAGTACAGCACTCTATTCCTTGCGGAAACTACATGGCACTCTAACAAACGGCCAGTGGTAGAAGACTAGGACAAAGGTTCAAAGGTTCCCCCTTTGCTCTCACTTCTCTCAATTTTTGCATTTTCACACTAACTAGAAATGTCTCTCCAAGAAGAAAATTTGGAATACACAGAAAATAAGGGAAAAACCTATCTTCATCCCATCTCACAGATACAACTGTGAATATTTTGACAGATTTATTTCCAGCCTCTCTTCCATGTTTAGACTTTTGCATTGAGATCATCCATTATGATTTTTTCTTACCCTTATCATATTTCACACTTCACATGGAGTAGTTATAATTGCATATTCCATACAATATAGAAAATATATTTCATTTTTTGACAACATGCTTTTCAGTAGTTGCAGTCTCCTATATTGGGTAAAAAATGTGACAGATTTATTGAGTGACTAACTTGGCTAATTAAGTTAAACCGAATTTTTCATGACCATAAAGTACATAAATTGTTATTAGCACTGTTAGTCCTAGAGAATTCTAGAATGAGAACAACTGGGTCAAAGAGATTGTACATTTGTAAGGATTTTCTAAATGCTCCCAAATCATTTCTGAATCAAATTACAGCACAATCCACTCTGCCCGAGGAGGACGGGAGACCACTCACTTTTGCTTTTTCTTTTGCTCCAGATGCCGATCCCACTCCAAGTCCAGAACATCATTCACATCCTGGACAGCAAATTTCACATATTGATGAAGGCGCCGAATTTCCTACAAGAAAAAAATGGAAAAGGCAAATGACTCAGAACATTAAAATTAAAATGAAAACCAGAAGCTCAGCCCCCCAGTGGTGTGACAGAGGGGAAGCGCCGAGAAAAGGGCACCAGAAAGGGCGTGTGGGCCTAGAGTCCCTGGGAGCAAATGGTCTGGCCTGGTTCTCATTCTTCAGCCTCCGTGAAGCATCTGGGCATGGCCTAGGATCTCCCACCACCCTAGTGGAAGATTCAGCTCTCCCACCCCTGCGGGACAGACAGAACGCCCAAGAGGCAGTGCTGAGAATAATTCTGAACCTCTCTCATTCACAGCAGAGAACACGAGTCAGCTCACTAGTTGAGAAAAACAAATTTCTTCTCAAAAGCAAAGAATAGTATCAGCACTAGCAACTGAGTTTACAGTACTAAAATTCTTAGCCATTGACTCATTTTAGACCTGCAATAACTTTCTTTAGATTTTGGGCCGGTGTGGGCATTCAGGGCTCTGCAACCTGACTCTCAACAATTAGAGAGGCAGCATCCCACAGGTGTGTGCCCATGAACACCACGTGCTACCCGCCGGGAAAAGCTCTTTACATCTGCACACGCATCTTATGAAGTTTAACTATATTTTCAAAATTATTCTTAGATAAGGACACAGCCCCTCAACCAACAAAGAGAAATACCATTTAGAGAGCCAGCTGGCTGCAGGAGGCTGCAGTAACCTGGGCATCAAATGTAAATTCCCATGTGACACTCAGTAGCTCCACACGCCGAGCCTCACATGTATTCCTAGCTGTGTGCCGGGGATGTTTCTTCTGCACATGTGCCCAACGCTGCCACCAACTGCTCCCCCCAGCCCATCACATCGTGTTCTTTTCTGTAGCTGAGCTGCCTGCTCATCTGGTCCCTGGCAACACAGCCCCCACTGTTATTATGCACCATCTTGCCCTGGCTACTTCCAGCAGGACTGCACCCAGCACAGCAGTCAAGAGCCCAGCAGGCTCTGCAGCCAGACTTTCAGGTCTAGCTTTGACGAGCGGGGAGACCTGGGTAGCTCCAGAATCTGTTTCCTCATCTATCTTTTGTACATGGCATATACCCAACAAATGCCAACTATTATCGTCTACTTAGCACTGTCAAAAAGAAAATGATCGGGCCTCCCCTGGTGGCACAGCGGGTGAGCGCTGGGCTGCAAAGCTGCCTGTAGCACTGGTTTGATCCCTGGCCGCTGGCGAGGGTCCCACATGGCGCGCAGACCTCTCCTGCCACCCGCTGCTCCCCTCAACAGTGTATTTCATTGGTCTGCTTGTTCTGCTCCCCGCTCTGGCTCTGGTGAATTCTCTCACCCTCCCGCGCTTCTGACTGTACCCAGTGCGTGCATAAATAAATAAATAAATAAATAAATCTTAAAAAAAAAAAAAAGAAAACGATCTCCTTCTGCACGGGCAAAGTGTCCCCCAAGAGTTGCACACTTCAAACACAAGACGGGAAGGCTCGTCAGGAGAGCGCGGCCCGGTGGGCACAGCAGGCTGGCAGTGCTCCTGCGGGGCAGCCTCCACAGCAGGACACAGGGCAAACACCCCCAGAGCTGCAGGGTTCGGCGCAGCTCCCAGCTTTCCTGGGAAGAGAGGCCACTTCTTTCATTCTACTGTCAGCAGGAGGATAGGCAGGTAAGGAAACAGGAGAGTCTATAGCCTCAAGTTCCCTGAGGCAAGAAGGATTCATCACCACAGACGGCACATCCCTGGTGAGGAAGGTAAGCGCCGCCAGCTGCGTGCCCCTCCTCACAGGTTCCTGGGCCAAGAGGAGCAGGTGGGAGATGAGCCCCTAAAGCTTATGCTACAACTTTGAATTGAAAACTGAAAACAATAAAAATAATTAAGATTTAATGAGAAAAGTGACTCTGCTAAAGCACAGCAATCAGGAGAGGGCCTAGCAGGGGGAATTTCCACTCCCGGTGCTATCAGAAGGCTCCTCCGCCGCCGGGGCTCAGTGCTGTCACCTCACAGGGGAGCGCTAACGCCCGTCACGTGGAGACTGGCTTTGAAGACCAGAAATAATGTACAAAAACACCTAGCAGGGGGCTTGGGATGCGATGAGTAATCACTACTGTTATTAGTCATGATTTGGTGTAGAAATACATTATCTTCCTCAACAGCACATTTATTCTCTACCAAGTTTAGGATTCAATGAAGAATCCTATTTTCAGCTTAATCCAAAAACATGAGTGGGAAAGTGTGACATCTTTGTCACAGTTGGTTTACGGACAGTGTGTCACTTATTCACAGGAGATGAACGGCTTCACAGGGCAGCCATGGAGATGCCGCCCCAGGAGGAGGAGCCAGGCAGGAGTCTGCCGAGGCAGCACGCTGGCTGGGTTCTCCTACCTGGAGCTGGGCCTCACTCTTGGGGTCCAGAGGACGCTTGTAGAGCAAATGCAGGTACGCAGAGTCACAGTTTCTCTCATTTTGTTCTCTGGCTTCTTCCACACCAGCAAAGCCCTCAAGTAAAGTTGTCTTCAGGGTGCTTATATCTCCGTGGAGAGACTGAAAAGGCACAAGGATGTACTGGTACAAAGAGCTGTATTTCTAAGAAGCAAGCCTGCTTGTCTGAATCAAGGAAGGTGGAGTCCCTCCAGTATCCAGAACGAACAGCCAAGTATGCTAATGGTCGTGTGAAAAGAAATCTCGCAGCTTGGAAAAAACGGTGCTACTGCTCATTATTGTCTTACCCATATTAGGCGAGGAAAGTATAAACAGTACCTATAACCTCACTGCCTGAAGACAATGCCTGGTACTATCCCAACTCCCCATTCCAGACAGGCCACTTAAGGCAGGTGCTAGAGTCGGTCTGGACTGGGAGACTGGCACTATCACTAGTAACTGGGCGGTTTGGGGCAAATCCCTTCACCCCACCAAGCCTCAGTTAAAGCCTAAGCCACCCACCCACTCACAAAGCTTCCATGAGATAATCCAGATGAAGCGCAGTGTGTTCAGTGCAGCGTCTGGTCCACAGCAAGTAGTAACAGCAGTAATAACAATAACACCGCAAATAATGTCAACAACTTTTATACTGTGTAGGCTTTCAGTCATTCTGCTTTAAAAAACCATTTTACTGGGGCTCCCTGGTGGCGCAAGGGGTTAAGCATAGCACTATGAAGCAATCCCCAGCCTCTTCAGCATGAGCTTGATCCCTGGCCGGCCAGGGAGCTACCCACATGGCAAAGCAGACCTCTCCTGTCTCACCTGCTGCTCCCCTCAGCAGTGTGTTTCAGTCAGTGTGTTGGAGCCTGTTCTGTTTCCCACTCTGTCTCTGGTGAATCCTCTCACCCCCCACGTCTCTGGCCTGCACCCCAGCTCTTATATGCAAAAATAAATAAATCTTTAAAAAAAAAAGGAAAAAACCATATTATAACCTAAAAACACTCTGTAAGAGACAGAAAAATTTCAAATATACCTAAACTAAATTAACAATCACAATAAATCTTCATGTGCGTGTGTCACGTGTGTGTCAGCAGGGTGGATGTATTCTTACTCCCTCCACACAGAAACCTGAGGCAGAGTAGCAGGATTAATCTGCCAGCCCCTGACGGTCAGCCAGGGCTGAGGCACACACTGCCGGGGAAGTATCCACCTGCAGCAAGGGACACGAGTGGTGCCTGAGGAGATGAGGCACCCACTCCCATGGAGGATGACGAGAAAGTCCTTTAGGGCCCACCCTCAGAAGACCCCACCACACACAGACCTCCGTGGTCTCCTTAATTTGCGAGAGGAAGGAGCGCAAGCCGTCCGACTCCATGCGCAGCAGCTTCATCTCCTCAGGTGTGCCCACCCGGAAGCAGGCTCGGGAAGTCTGGGTTTTCAACTCGGACAGTTCCTTCTCGAAGTGAGCGATCTGTAAGGCACAAAGGAGGAGATTCAGCATGACCGGCATAGTGGCAGTGTCAGCAGCACACTCAGTACAGACTTTTGGGACACCTGGGTTCAAGGCCGAACAACGTAGCGACCCAGGAGCCGGCACTCAGAAACATTCAAGTCTCCAGAGCAACTTCTGGAAAAAATCTGCAGAACAAACTTACCTCCTCCCCAATGCCGGTTATCACTGGATCTGACTCCTTCCACTGTTGTCCCTGCTTTTCTGTGACAGGAGGCTGAAGTGATTTCACCTGCAGTAGAAGGCAAACATCTCAACTGCACCCCTGCCCTGATTTTCAGCGCCTGAAGTAGTCATTCCGTGCCTGCCACGGCAGCGGTCCTGTCAAGGCTCTAGCTTTCGCTCTTCTAAGCCATGCTAACCACGCCCCCACACCACGTGAGGCACGTTCCAGAGAGCGGTGCTCGAGTGGGCCTGACAGATGGGATCCCTGCTCTCATGGAACTTACTGAGACAGGACGGATAGTGAAAGAGTGGCAGGATCATACAGAGAATAAAAAGGAGCACTGCTTGAGATGAGATGGCACAGGACGCCCTCAGTGATGGTCACCACTGAACCGAGACCTCGAGTAAAGGAGAAAGCTATGAAAAGTTCTAGAAGGACGTTCCAGGGAGTGGGAAGTACAAGTGTAAAGAATTTTAAGTCAAAAAAGAAAAGAAAAAGAATGAGGCAGGAAAGACGCTGGCGCCATTACGTAAAATAAATGTGGTTCAAGCGAGGTCAGGAAGGCAGCTGGGCAAGGCAGGGCAGGTCATGCAAGGCTACACCAAGGAGGCTAGGGCTTCTTACAAGCACGGGAAAGCCACCACAGGTTTTACAAGAGTTCAAACTATTCTTTGACTTTAAAATATCCTTCTTGCTGCTAACTAGAACACATGACGTGGGAGGTAGGAGCAGAAACAGGGAGACTAATCAGGAGACTAGGTAAGAAATGATATAGGTTGATAGCAGGGGAGACAGAGACAAGGATCTAAACATACCCCAGAGCCTCCCCTGGTGGTGCAGCGGTTGAGCGCTGGGCTGCGAGGCTGCCCACAGCCTCCGCAGCGCCGGTTCGTTCCCCGGCCGCTGGCGAGGGTCCCACAAAAAACAAAAAAACAAAAACAAAAACAAACAAAACAAAACAAAAACAAAAAAACTGCCACATCCCAGCAGGGCTCAGACCAGTTAGTCTGGATGGGGGAAGGGGTCATTAAAGAGAAGACCCCAGGATGGCTCTGGGTTTGGGGTTTGAGCAAACAACTGATTGGTGCTACTTAGTGAGATCAGAACACTAAAAAAGCAACATGTTCTGGTAGGACAGAAACCAAGAATTCTGCTTTAGAGACACTGTAATTTGGCGCATCTCCTAAATTTATTTGAGAGCTACAGCAATTACGTATAAACAGATTTTTGACTATTTAAGCATTCTTTAAAATGGCAGATACTTAACAAATACCATGAGTCATGCATAATGTCCAAATGTAGGCCTGCAAGCTAAGCATTTTTTTTTAAAGATTTATTTCTTTATGCATACAGGAGCTGGGGTACAGGCCAGAGGTGCGGGGGGTGAGAGGATTCACCAGAGACAGAGCGGGGAGCAGAACAGGCAGATCTACTGAAACACACTGCTAAGGGGAGCAGCGGGGAGACAGGAGAGGTCAGCTGTGCCATGTGGGTTGCTCCCTGGCAGGCTGGGAATCGAACTCATGCTGCAGTGGCTGCAGATAGCTTACAGGTTGCGTCTTAACCCTTGCGCCACCAGGGAGGCCCCTATTAACTAAGCATTTACGGAGCACCCCACGTGGGGGTGCTGGGAGTGCCAATTGGGAAACTGACAAATTCTCCTTAAGGTCACCTATAAAACTAAACAGATAACTGACTGTGGCGCTAAATATGAAAAGTAAAATAATAACGCTTTTAGAAAAACAAAGAATAGCTTTTGGCCTTATAACAGAAAATGATACCCAAAACAAAACACAAAAAGCACCTAACAGAAAACCTGACATACTGAGCTATATTGAAATGAAGAACTTGCACTCATTGAAAGAAGACATGAAGAAAATATTATATAAAAATGAGTAATAACGTAAAGTACATAAATAAATACATTTAATAAAAACTAATAAAAAAGCAGCCATGAAGAAAATGTAGTCTCAGCACCATGTGCATGTGTCCAGCAAGGAACTGTCTCTTGTAACAGTAAAAGAGACAGCCCAACAGGAAGGTGGACAAAAATGTCAGCCACTGCAGAGAAGATGACATTCCAGTGGTCACACAATCATATGAAAGCAAAGCATGTGAGAATTCGGGGGGTCCTGATAACGTTATTTCTTGATGTGGGTATGCCAAGGTGTGTTCAGATGGTGACCACTCACTGCATGTATACGCACACCACACGCACACTCTTTTCCTGTATGTAGTAAATGTCAATACAACATTAAGCACATAAAATAAAACTGAGATGGTATGAAAGGCAGAGGAAACAGGACACTGGATCGATGTCTTGGTTACTATGGGAAGGAGAGAAACACAATCAGATGCTACAGCTTCTCTGACATGAAGATACAAGAAACTGAACAGCACAGCCTGGGCAGGCTCAGCCCCACAAAAAACACAAGCCTGACTCTGGTGCACACACGCACACGACACATGCTCGGCCCACCCGTGTGGAGTTGCTCCTCAGAGCCTGAATACAACCTAGGAGGTGTGACTTCTGCTTGGGCGGGAGGCTGATGAGCATAAGTACTGCAAGGGGGTTCACACACCTGGGGGGAGACTGCCTTTGCCACCGGAGGAGTGATCCTGGGGGATTTCTGGGCCACCAAGGATGCTGGAATTGGACTGCCCTGCGCAGATGGCCCTGCTGGAATAAAAAGTCAGTCAGACAGCATTCATGCCCATCACAGCTGTCCATCCTCCAGTCTGAGACATCTCGACTGTCTCTGGGCACCTCCAGTGACATTAACAAGGGCGTGGTCACAGGGTCAGCCTCTGCTCAAGATGACTAAGAGCATATGCTAACATTTCACAAAGCAGATAACACAGGAGTTCTCTGATAACAGGCATGTGTACTTGTGTGCAGGTATTTGTGAGACTAACCCTTTGTGTTTTTATGCATACAAGATCTGGGGTCCAGACCAGAGGTGCGGGGGGGGGGTGGTGGTGGTGAGAAGATTCACCAGAGACAGAGTGGGGAGCAGAACAGGCAGATCTACTGAAACACACTGCTGAGGGGAGCAGCGGGGAGACAGGAGAGGTCAGCTGTGCCATGTGGGTAGCTCATGGCCGGGGATCGAATTCAGGCCATTGCAGTGAGAGCGCTGAGACTAACCCCTAGCCCACCAGGGAGGCCCGAGACTAGCCCTTTGGCCCATCCTTACTCCCCACAGAGGTTCCTGAGGTACCTTTGGGAATAGGAACAAAGTTTAAAACCACAAGTTGAAAATAATAAACAGCATCACCTTGCAGGGGCTTGAGGACCTTACTAGAAGCCTCCAGGACGAGTCTCATCCTGTGGTGCATTAGAATTAGTAGGGAACTTCTAAGGTAGAGGGCACTTCTAAGGTGGAGAGCTTCTAAAAAAAGAAAACCCAAAAGCTCACACCCTCATCTCACCTTATGAGATCCTGATTAAATCATCAGGGAGTGGTTTTCCTGGTAGATCCAGAATGCAGCTAGGCTGTGATGTAATAATCTAAGACTTAGACAAGGGCTTTAATCTAAGATCGAAGAACTAAATAACAGCAACACGCGTAGGGCCTCTGGCTGGTGAGCAGTGGCGAGGGAGAGAGCCTACGTGCATTAGGGTTCAAGTTGTCTCTCCCAAGCATAAAACAACGTGAGAATTAAGGCAATACTCCTCAACTTTTAGTCACAGATGCTTTTCAGAATCTGATGAAAAGATCCAGAATAAGATCCAGACTTTGGTAAATCTACAAGGCAGTCCTTCACAGCTTGATGCTTGCTCAATATTTACTAAACGAAGCGTATTTGACACACACGGGTGGTTACCCAAATACAGCTGGTCAGGTATCACTGCTGGTGTTTGTGAAAATCACCAACTTCAACTGAGACCTGCTACGGCCACCTGACAACCACGTGCTGTGGTGCGTGCCTCCTATGTGGCCTTATGGCCCAAAACACTTCACCTGAATCTCATCACGTGGAAGCAATCAGACCCCAACTCAGGGACAAAACCACTGGCCTGAGTTCCTCACAAACGTCAGTGCTGTGAAAGAGAATGAGCAACTATTTGAGGTTGAGAATGAGCAACATTCTTGAGCAACACAGAATGAGCAACTATTTGAGGCTGAGACTCCTGGGACAGAGTGGGAAGACTAAGCGCCCTGGCTGGCTCTGGGTTGGGGAGGGAGCCATGAAGAAGGAAGGTGATTTGGGACAAGTGTGCATAGATGGGCAGTAAATTCGACGCTGTTAGATTTCCTGACTCTGATAATGTGTTCTGTGTCCTTGGTTTTAGGAGTTACACACTACAGTAGTTAGGAGGCAAGGGTTTCATGTCTGCAATTAACTCAAGAAAAAAACATACAAAAACAAGAGATAAAGCCAACAATGAAAAACATTAGCAAGTACCGAATCTCAGTGAAGGGCAACCTTTCTCGGGCTTGAAAGGAAAAAAGATAAACTAGGTACATTTGCTCATGGATTTCTATCATGCATTTCATTTCCACTGGGCTTAATGACAAATTCCACTCATGGTCTTTAATACGCTTTTGAACAGTAGGGCTGATCGTGAGGATAACCACTGCAGGCGCATTCTCTTCTATGCAGCTGCAAAAGTTGCTCTGTCACTGACCGTCGTGTGTGCAAGCTGCCCCACAATAGACACTTTGCGAGCATCACCGAGAACACCCAGCTCAAGCAGCAAGGTCAGAGAGACAAGCAGGGTGGCACCGAGGCCACTGGGAGTCTTCCGATTCAGATTATGAAAATCTGCATGTCAGCACGAGATACAGGAAGCAATAAAAAATGCAGTCCAGCTATGCCGGTGAGGATCCTAAACTTCGAAAAATACTGAGAATTCACGTCTAGGCTCTGAAGAAGTTGGTGGCAAAGCATACCTGATGCCAAGGGAGAGGCCGAGGACTTTGATGACATGGAACCCAACGAGGAGGAGAGCACCGCAGGGTGGCTGAGGGACGCAGAGGCTGGCTTGGAGGCAGAGAACGGCAGTGTGGAGGGGGCACTCTGCGAGCTGCTAACAGGGGCCGTGGTGGCCATGGAGGTGAACCTGAAAGAAGGGCAGCGCAGAAGCGTCAGAATAGCCTGTGATGTCGTCACACCAGTAACAGCAAGGCCACGGACCTGTTGTCTTTCTCGTTGCCTCATGAGACGTCACTGTTCAGCTCTTCTGCATCAAAGGACAGCTGTAAGGCGCTACTTACCTCACTGCCTGCTTATTTAAGAAAGATGCAGTGAAAAGATCCAATAAGGAGTTACCATCAAATGAAGCTAAGCTTATCGTGACGTAAATACTCATTTCCTATCAAGATGGGAAAAAACTGAGGGAAAAAAAGTGAGACTCAATTACACTTGGCAGGTTCAGTCCTCTCTTGTCAAGGGAACCACTGAGAACTCGTTCCCGTCCAGTGGGAAGGTAAAGTTTCCCCTAAGAGCAGAACACCGCCAATGACCTGAGTGCCTGCCATTAAACGACTGGCTGAAGAACCAACAGCACAGATCCCAAAACGGATGTCAGCCGCTTGTGGGCAGGAAGGGCTGAGTGCTGGCTGTTAACAGTGACGACAGGTGGTGGCAACAGCAAGGACTACCTCCACGACCACAGGAGATGGCACAGATGAGGGGGGTAACCTGGGAAAGGTGACAGGTATAAGGGTCACTTCCCCCCAAAGCTCACGTTTTAGTGGAGGCAACAACAGGCAGAAGTAAAAGCAAGACACGAGTGAGCTGGTGGGAGCAGGCACGGAGGGCTATGGAACGTCATCTGGAGAGTTTAGACGTATGTGAGGCGCATCGAATATGGGAGCCAGGGGAGGCATTTCTGTTTCACAAAATGACTCTGGTGGCTGTGGGAAAAGGCTTGGAGAGTGAGGGGTAGACACAGGGGAAAGAGGGCAGATTCATTTCCCTCACAGCACGTGTGTGTACTGTTTCATTTTTTAAGATGAGAAATACCGCCCACACCTGCAAGCTGAAAAAACAAAAGAAATATTCAACTACATACTTTTAACCGTTAAAAAAAAAAAATCCTGGCCCCCCCCAACCCTGGTGGCGCAGCAGTTGAGCACTGGGCTGCGAAGCTGCCCGCAGCTTCTGCAGCGCTGGTTCGATCCCAGGCCACCGGGTGAGGGTCCCACATGGCGCGCAGACCTCTCCTGCTGCGCCCGCTGCTCCCCTCAGCAGTGTACTTTGTCAGTCTGCCTGTTCTGTTTCCCATTCTGGCTCTGGTGAATTCTTTCACCCTCCCGTGCTTCTGACTATACCCAGTTCTTGCATAAATAAATAAAATCTTAAAAAAAAAAAAAAAAAAAGGTTTCTTTTAAAATAAGTAAATAAATAAATAAATAAAATCCTAACGAACCTTCCTGGATTCTATCCACCGATGAAATGCAAGTGTTGTCTACATAATTCAAATGGCTACCATCCGCAAGCTTCCTTTGGGAAGTGGGAAACAGTGGACTCAGCAGCGATGATGCTGCTTGCCGTGAGTAACGAGCATTCCCTTCTGCCCATTCAACAGGAGAATCAAACCTCTGAGTGGTACTTACTTTTCGCTGAGGTTGACCTTGACCATAGCGCCTGAGGGTGGGAAGGAGGGCTTCATCCCTATGCTCGGAGCAGACACACTCGGCATCGGTGTGCTTTCTAGGGCAGGCTTAAAGCCCGACGGTCCAAAGGAGATGGAAGGAGTCGATGGCACCATGGGAGAGGCCGTGGGGGTGGGGGCCAGCGAGGCTTGAGGAGGAGGAGTGAAAGAGAAGGTGGCTGCGCTGGAGCCCAGGGCTGCTTTTGAACTGTCAGAGCCACTGGAATACGGAGTAGCGTCCCCGGTGACGGATGACTTCAAGGATGCAGAACCAAAGAACGCAGTGGAGGTGCCAAGAGAGGGCAAGAAGGCGGGAGTGGGTGCCGCGGACAGTGACGCTGGACCGGAGACCGGAGCTGCAGCTGCTGGAGCATCGAGTTTCTGCGGGGCCTGAGAAGGGGGGGTGGTGGGGGTACTTCCTGCAGTGGAAAAAGGGGGAGAGGAAGATGTCAGCACTGTAACGGAAAGCAAGTGGGAAGGGGCCTGTGGAACCAAAAGTGATGGTCCTCCTCAAGGAGCAAAGAATTACAAAGGAAACTGAGCTGATCAGACTTCGTGTGAGCAGGTCACAGGGTATGACACTCTGAAGGAGAACGGAAATGGGAACATCAGACTAAGAGGACTTCAGGGGCATGTGTCGAATATATAGAAAAATATACCTCTTGGGGTTACAATGCAAACAAGTCCTTCAGCAGCATTTCGTTCTCAGTCAGGAAAAAAATTTAATTCACACTTCTACCTCACTAACAGCCACCAAAGAAGCGAGTCCAGATCAATTAAAGATAAACACAAATGGAAAAGCATGTATTCACATACCTCATGAAAATAAAAAAGCAAAAGTAAAATTCAACAGATCCCTGAATAATGTCCTTTCACTTAAAATTGTAATGCTGAGGAGGAAAAACAAACAAGCCTGGTCCACTGTCCATGGAGTGGCTTTCTCCAAGACTACAGAGACACCCCCCACCTCCAGAAAGTTCACATGGGGTTCACTGGTGTGTCAAACTGCCCCAGTCAGAAAGAGTTGGTGTGAGCGCGACACGCCCTGTCCTAGAGGGGCGTCCTGTCCAGTGCTAGACTGGGCCCCACCTTGTACCCTGAGCTGCCAAGAGACTCCAGCCACCCTGACCCTGAATTGGAATAAGCAGTTTGGTAACTGAATAAATGAATGAATGGAAATTACTGTTTAATACTAAAAGTGTCTGGGGTCTTTATTTAGAAGTTTCATGATGTTCTTATGGCCAGAAATAAGCTGTAGGAACTTGTGTTTACATCATTTAGACTGTGGTCACATCGGTTTCCTTGTAAGTTGTGTCACTTACAGTAGAAGTCTCCAATGCCATTGAATGTATCAAGTATCTGACAATCTAGCAACTCGATACCTTTAGAAGTGACCAAAAAATAAATAAATAAATAAATAAATCGAAAAGACTAAAATTTGACTATATTAAAAAAAAGTTATGATTAAAGTCATATTCTGCATTAATTCCATATTAGCACCCCATGATACTAGTAAATATTCTGTGGCAAATGACACGTTTTAGTATTTCCAAATATTTGTTATATTACTAACGACAATGTTATGGCAATTACATTATCATTCATTGTTAGTAATAATCAGTAATAAAAATTAATAACCTCGTTTTAAAGCTCACATAAATTGAGATTGAAAATTTTCAAGACTCTTTTTTTAAAGATTTATTTTTATTTATTTATTTATTTTATTTATTTATACAAGCACTGGGTACAGTCAGAAGTGCAGGAGGGTGAGAGAATTCACCAGAGCCAGAGCAGGGAGCAGAGCAGGCAGAAGGACCGAAGTATACTGCTGAGGGGAGCAGCGGGCAGGAGAGGTCTGCGCACCATGTGGGACCCTCCTCCAGAGGCCGCGGGCAGCTTCGCAACCCAGTGCTCAACCGCTGCGCCACCGGGGAGGCCTGAAAATTTTCAAGACTCTTAACGGATATAAGCTGAAGACCTAAGTCACATTAATAAAATTCACACTGGGGCCTCCCCGGTGGCGCAGCGGTTGAGCGCTGGGTTGCGAAGCTGCCCGTGGCCTCTGCGGCGCCGGTTTGATCCCCGGCTGCTCCCCGGCCACCGGAGGAGGATCCCACATGGTGCGCAGACCTCTCCTGCCGCCCGCTGCTCCCCTCAGCAGTGTCCTTCGGTCCTTCTGCCTGCTCTGCTCCCCGCTCTGGCTCTGGTGAATTCTCTCACCCTCCCGTGCTTCTGACTGTACCCAGTGCATGTATAAACAAAACAAACAAATAAAATAAATAAATAAAACATGCCTCTATTAAAAAAAAAAAAATTAAAAAAAAAAAAAATAAAATAAAATTCACACTGGGCCTCCCCGGTGGCGCAGTGGTTGAGCGCTGGGCTGCAAAGCTGCCTGCAGCCTCTGCGGTGCCGGTTCTATCCCCGGCTGCCGTACGAGGATCCCACATGGTGCGCAGACCTCTCCTGCTGCCCGCTGCTCCCCTCAGCAGTGTACTTCGTCACTCTTCCTGTTCTGCTCCCCGCTCTGGCTCTGGTGAATTCTCTCACCCTCCCGCGCTTCTGACTGTACCCAGCACTTGTATAAATAAATAAATCTTTAAAATAAAGAACCCAAAATTAAAAAAAATAAAATAAAATTCACACTATCCAATCTCACTAATCAAAATAAATGCAAGTTGAAATGAGACATTTTTAATGTCGTCTAAATTATCAAGATTTTAAAATGTATAGTTCCCTATGTTTAGAAGAATAAAATGAGCCTGAAACTTTTTATCAGAATTATGTACAGTTTATGTTTTCAGAAAACATTTAAGCTTACATCTCAAGTCACAAAAAAACAAAATTGGTTATGCTATTTATAAGAATCAAGTCTATGAGAATAATCTAAAAAACAAAAGACATTTAATATAACCCAAATAGTAAAAACATTTATTAAAATACCCAACATTCACCCTTTTAAATGAATCAGGAAGATAATGTAAGAACATGGAAAATGCTTACAATTTAAACTAAAAGCCTCATATAAATTATATAAAATGAGTCCAATGATGAAGTATGTTATGAAAAACACTAGAAGGCAGGTTTACAAATGTTCCTATTTTTCAAGCTGTCCATAAATGTTAACTCCAAACGTCCTCTGAAGCATACATGTTAACTCCCTCACTTAAGTAACTAAACAAGAAGGCAGCACAGCTGCCCATTAGGGTCCTGGCTCTTCTGAGTTGCCTGAGATGACAGTTTATCCTCGCAAGGCCTGGAGCGGTGCAATGCTTAGGACAGACCTGAAAACTAAGGCCCCAGCGAATGGCCCCTCCTGTGGGAGCAACCGTCTCCGGCTCGCACACGACAGTGCCACAGCAGCTAGCTCCTTCAGACCCGCAGCACATGGAGGTCACTCGTCCCAAGCACATCGGGTAGACCACAGGGAGGCTGAAGCCAGAGCTGAAAGGTCTTTCCCACTGAAAAGGAAACTAAACACCCGAGAACTCCAGGCTGTGTTCTGAGCATCCAAGCCAGCACCCCTGGAGCTGCAGGCTAAGTTGGCGGGACACTCACCCCCTCCACCGCCTATACCTTCCAACCCCCACCCTTCGCTTATCTGAACTGGGAGGCGAAGCAGCGAAGGGTGGGGGGGGTGTCTCTCCACAAAAGACCACCAGTAAAATTGGGGCCCTGCCTGTGCCGGGCAGCTGGGTGGAGGTAGTTCAGGGCATCCACACTCAGGTAAGCAGAAGACAGAGTTCTCAGTGCACATGTACCGTGGTAAGAGGTGGCCCCGCACCACAGCCCAGGCCCCGTGTGTCGTCACCTGGCAATTAGCTGGGGTTGCGTCACCAGCCGGCAGGCCCCGGCACAGCAGCTTGCTCCCCATGCACTGCCGAGAAGAACAGCCCTCGGGAGTGACCGAGGCTTTACATCACAAGGGGCCAGCATACTTTTTCTTAGATGTGGATTAGGCTACACCAGCCACTTTTTAATCCATATTACAAGAGAAAAACAGCATTATACTCTCACAGAACCAGGGCTATCCGTGACATTCCAAATAATAAAGTCATGACCCTCTAAAATGATCTTTACTTCCTCCGCGCAAGTGGTGTGTCATCACTGGAAATTCTGACGCTACATCAGCATGAAGAACAGGAAGGACCCCGAATGCTAATGGTGGCTGCTGCTTGATGAATGAATACCTGTTCTGGTGTTTTTTCAATTTTCGCCAATAAACGTATTACTTATTGTCTTTATAAAGTAGGAAAAATCAAAACCTAATGAGAATTGAAATTAAACAAAAAAGAAATAAAGTCCCCATGTTCCTGACCTCCTGCTAGATTTCAACACCCATCTTTTAAGTATGTATCTACAGATACAGTTTTCCCCATAAAAAAGGAAACAGGCAGCGGGCCTTCTGCTCACCCGTGCCTATGTGAGTATTTCTTTTCGCCAACCCTCTCCCTCTGCGGGGCAGCAGCTTCCTGCCTGCCCTGACTGTACCCTGCTGGGGCTTTTCTTCACCGACCTCCCTCAGCAGAGGCCGCTCTCCTCTCTCTCAGCAAACCTGTCTCTTTTGGGGCAGCCCTTTCTGCCTGCTTGTGTCTATGTGAGTGTCCTTTATTCTTCTCTCCCTTTTCCAATAAATCTGCCTTTTGGATATTTAAAAAAAAAAAAAAAGGGAACAGTCTACAGTCAGTCACGTCACACTCCACTGTCTCACATCACTGCCCGACCACACAGCTGACCCGTGGACAACACGGGTTTGAACTCCGGAGGCTTTCTCCTCCATGGGTGCTGCAGCCATGGATTCTCCCAGCTGTGGTGCCAGCTGCGGAATGTGGACACAGGAGCTGCCCGAGCTATAAGCAGAATTTCACCCTGCAGGTCAGCGCCCCAAGCCCTGCGCTGCTCAAGGATCAGCTGTACGACCCTTTACTAACCAACCCCAACCTGAACCGATCCAAGACATTTACCGCGTCTTTGGGATTCAGACCACGTAACGGTCACGGCTGGGGAAGGAAGCGTGGGTGAGGGAGCTGGTGCGTGCGTCAGGGAAAGGGGAGTCTTGGCCTCAGTAAGACTGACTGGCTGGATCAAGACACCCCATTCCCCTTGGGCGTGCCCTAGAGAGCCGGGGTGCCGGGGTGGGAATACCGTACCTGGTGACTTGGGCTGCCGCTCTCCTTCTAACGAGAGCCGCTCTGGCGTCCTGATGAGGGACCTAACCCCCGGGTTTTGGTTGATCATGTAAAACGGACACAGCACCCCGTCTGTTGACAGTAACATGAGAACTGGAGCAGGAGGGAGGGTCTTCTCATCGCCTGTTAACCACAGAAAACAAAAGTGGTAAAAGAGACCAGCAATGGAGGTGCCCGGGCCCAGGAGGGACAGGCTGCCCTAGGAAGACATTTAAGGCCCAGGTCTGTTTGCTCCATCCGGATCCGAACAGCCTCTGGGGCGACAGCTCTCTGAAGAGAGCACACATCAGCAGTCACACTGTGTTGCAGGCGCAGGGCCGCCAGCTGTCCCGCAGTGGCCTGATGTTCAGGAGGCAAGTCCTGCTTTCCCTGACTCAAGAAGAATCTCATGGAAGTACATGACTTGGTGACAGACTAGGCTCCTGGGAAAACCCACAGTAGGACACAGAAAGGTCAGACAGACTACTTTATAATCATGCCCAGTTGAATCAGAAGCATTTGTCAGTGAAGACTACAAGAGAATGAGAGAAAATGAGCTGGTAAGACCAAACCACCTGGCCAGGAGGAGGACAAGGCATGTGACAGGGGGAGACGCCTTTCCAAACTGTAAGGACAAATCTTCGCCACTCTTACACCTGAGGGGCCCTGGCTGCACCTAAGCGGCAGCACACACTAAGCCTGACAAGGACTTTGTTGTCTACCCCTGCCTTCAAAACACGTGCTGCTATGCAGTACCAGGTCAGGGGGCTGTTTCCTTAGGAGGTCCCTGGGGAATGCAAGGGGCAAGAAACGAAGCTATGCAAGCTGACGCTCTGCACCTCAGTCACCCTCTGCCGTGGAGAGAGAGACACACACACGCACGCACGCACGCACGCATGCACGCACGCACGCACTGGGTCTGGCTTGAGTCGCATCAATGTGCAGCCACTCAGTGTAGATTAGTATCATCACAACAACTTAATCACCCTTCAAGTGGAAATGTGCTACCAGAAGCTAAAAGCACCCGGTAGAGCAGACAGCCCTGCAACGCAGAAGAGGGCGCACGTGTCAGCGCCGCCGCGAGGAGACCACGCCGCTACTTACTGATGGTGATTTCCACTTGGTTAGTGTAATCAATGGCCACACCCATGGGCAAGGAATCATCGTTCTTGTCTGTCACAGGCAGCTCAGCTCGACTAGAATCCTCTAGTAGCCAAGACTCCCAATTAATCTGGAAAAAGAAGAAAATGCCACGGAGGTTAGAAAACTGCATTGCGTCATCCTAGTGCTATTCAAACAGGAGAAGGAAAGACAACGCTCCTGGAGTAGAGCTACGTGCTGGCTGAGACTCTGACATATGGGATGACGACCTCAAATCCATGAGTACCCTGGCAAGTGAGGGGTTAGTTTCTAGGCCAACCAAGCCCCTGCTTCGAGTACACACTCAGACAGCGAGCACCCTCAGTGCCCTCACGCAGCGAGGCAGCTCCTGAACACGGCAGGCAGATCCAGTGACACCCATCCCTGCACCTGGGGCTGGGGCCAGGGCTCTGCTGTCTCTACCGCGCTCCTGACAGGGTGGCATATAAGTTGGCCAATGTCCTGTGCTCACTCTCCCAAAGAGATGGGGGGGACTGGAGTCTTGTCTTGCCCCATAACTGGTGTCAGTTCCCAATATACTGGTCATCCAGCCTGTCCCTGGATACCCTGAGAAAACCACTAAGTCTAACAAACTCTCCCTTTGCTTAAGTCTGCTTGACTGGACTCTGTTCCTTCCAACAACTGATTCCTGACTTTTAAAAATCACTAACACTTTGTGTAACTTTCAGTGTTGCCAAAACTGGGCAGGATGAGTTAAAGGGAACGGTGCTCAGGAAGTGACAGGACAGCTGATCGCTGCTGAGGAAGGGCAGTGGCCTTACTCTGTGGCTCGGCTGTTCTTTAGTATGGAACCAAAACTGATTTCAACTTTGAAACCAATCTAATGACAAAACAAAGACCCCGGCAGTCACTAGAGAACAGAATACAAATACCATCAACTTTGATTTTGTAAAAGACAAGACAGAGACAATAGCTGGAAGGGGGGCTAAGGCACAGATGGGGGTACCAAGAAAATCCTCTCAAAAAGTGGAAAATGGAGATACTGGACATAGTGAAACCATGAGAAATAAAAATTGTTAAAGTTACAAAGGTAACAGCGAAGACAGTACACAGTGAAGACAGTAAACAGCGCTACAATCCATGAGAGGAAGGAGGGGATCTAAAGGCCCTGTGTGAGCTGAATCCTCACCTGCCATAATGGTCCTTAGGGCCTAAATTTAATAATCAGCAAGTAATGGTAAAGCAGATTATCATCTAGGGAGAAAAATGGAACTGTTACAAGCTTACAAGTTAAAAACAGTCCCTTCTATAGAACAGGACTGCGTAAGGTCAGGCTGGCAGGGGTGACTGTTTCAGTTTTTTTTTTAAAGATTTATCTATTTATGCATATAAGAACTGGGGTGTGAGCCAGAGGTGTGGGGGGGTGAAAGGATTCACCAGAGACAGAGCAGGGAGCAGAACAGGCAGACTGACTGAAATACACTGCTGAGGGGAGCAGCGAGCGAGACAGGAGAGGTCTGCTGCACCATGTGGGCAGCTCCCTGGCTGGGGATCAAATTTGTGCTGCAGTGGCTGCCGACAGCTTCATAGTGCTGAGACTTAACCCCTTGTGCCACCAGGGAGGCCCCCTGAATATTTTCATTTCTAGACCCTTTTGTACTATCTAACTTTAATCTTATCCATAAATTATTTAGGGTATTAGGGCACTGCTACTGAAATCAACTTAAGAGCAGCAACAGACGGCTGAGCTCTGGCCTATGACCTCACGATGGGCCCTCAGAGAACAGGAGGGATTCTTATTGACTGCTCAACCTGACATGTTTTTGCAAGGCAAGACTGAAACCGTTTGGCTCTATGCTCTCTGCCACTTATGCTCTGCTCTCATCCAGAAACTCGTTAAGAGGTATGTGACTGCAGCAACAGCCACACAGTTTACTCCTTTCTAAAGTCTTTCTCAGGAAAGTATCCCACAGAAGCCACAAAAGAGAGAGGTTTACCTGGTCACTCTGCCGAGCAAGGATACTAACTTCTGTCGAAGCTGCAGATGCGGCCAGCACTAAGTCCCTTCAAAAAATAAAACCAGAACACCATCAGATGCAAAGGATGACAGTTCTGACTGCAACTGCAACACCTGCAACACCATGTCTGAGAGGATTTCCTCACGAGGTCAAGGAGGGAGGTAAGGTGTTCCATATAGTTGAAAAAGGAAGATTTTAGATGTCGAGAATGGCTACCCACCTACTTAAGACAAAGAAATGACATAAGAGAATCAAGCCAGAATTCCCAGTAAGCACAGCCCCTGGAAAGAGAGTACCCAGCCAGAGGAACAGAAGCTTTGCTTCAGGTGGTTGAAGGAAACTTTTAACATATTCCTTAAATATCAGTATTTTCATTAAATCATCACTGGGGTTATTAAGAAAACGAATTTGAAAGATGACAATGTACTGGATCTACATTATTCAGGAAGGGGAATGGGCATGGGGTATCATCCAGCATGCACTGAGGATGTGTTCAGGGCATTGCCAGACTATTTTCCTTCCTTACGGAAAAAGAACTTCAAAATGGGAACGCAGAGGCCGAGGGCTGGGCGAGAGGCAGGCAGGACCCCCGGGGGCCGGCTCACCATTCCTCGACATAGCGGAGGTAGTAGTGGTGCTGCCGCTCACTGCAGCTGCTGTAGCAGGGCTCCATGAAGTTCACAAACATCTCCCGGTGCTTGTCTTCTTTTTTCTATAATGAGCAGAATGAGGAAAAAAGAACATGATGTGTGATTTTTTTTCTTTAAACCTACGCAGTTAAGGTTCTTAAAAGACAAAACCAATTAAGTTTTATGGAAAAATTCAGTCAAAACCTGTGCCCCAATGCAGAGACAGGCCAGAGAGGCAGTGCTGATGGGGCGGGCTCGGGCACGCTGACAGGTGGGTGCGCCTGCCAGGCACTTTCCGGCGGTGGGCGAGCACAGACGGCCATAGGACTTCTCTGACAGTCTATTCAACTTACTGTTGTTAGAATTCAGACCTACTATGCTTACTTCAAAGCTTTTTTAAGCATGATGCCAAACGACACCCGTAACACTTCTAGCCCAGTACATCGAACACATGTAGCTAATAAATGCTCACGCCAGTGTTATCCCTGGGAATAAAAAAATCTTAGTACCTTGAAATAAGGCAGCTCAAGAGAAACCCAAAGCGATATTTAACAAGGCACATCTGTCACACATCAGCCTGGCAAATGTTAAAGCCACTGCACAGTGACACGAGTTGGCAGCTGGTGGCCCCACTGGTGGTAGGCGTATAAACTGGTACAGCATTTCTTAAAAATAACTTTGGCAGCGTTTTCAAGGCTTATCCAAAAAAGCGGATGCCTCCTGGTCTAGCAATTTCATTTCTAGGTTTTTATCCTAAAAAATAAACAGAATCACACCAAGTGCACATAAAAGTATGTATTACAACATTCCTTAAAACAGGGAAAACGAACAATCCGGGCATCAACAGCCGAGGGTGAGCTAAATAAACTGCTGATCTGTCCAAAGCAGATCAGATTTACAGATTTACTGACATAGAAAAAGACGTTCAATTTACTACTAAATAGAACAAGGTCACAAAACAAGACTAGCACAAACCCTATGCTATATAGTTAGACAGTTATATATTATAAAAATCTAGAAATTCAAATTTATATCCCAAAACATCAACAGTTATTTGAGAATGGCAGAACTGAATACAATTAAAAAAAAAAAAAAAAAGATTTATGTACTTTTGCATAGAAGAACTGGGGTGCAGGCCAGAGTGTGTGCGTGAGAGGATTCACCAGCAACAAAGTGGGGAGCAACACAGGTGGATTGACTGAAACACACCGCTGAGGAAAGCAGCGGAAAGACAGGCGAGGTCTGCTGTGCTATGTGGGTCAGCTCCCTGGCTGGGGATCAAACTCAGGCCACCTGGTGACAGCACTGAGACTTAACCCGTAGGCCCCCAGGGAGGCCCTCTACAAGTATTTAAAAAAGTTATTTAAATTGATGTTTTGTGGGATTTTAGGTCTTTCAGCTAACAGGTGTTTTCACATGTTCTTCTTGGGCTTTTAAAGCGTATACTGATCTGCGGCTTATGCTCTAACTCTTGTTCTTTTTAACACCACTGGCATTTGGTGGTGACCCGTGCATCTCATTATTACTGCCCCCCTCTCCGAACGGATCACTCCCCACTCATTCCCTTCTCTGCCCCAGTGGCTCCTCCTCAGTCCTCTTGACCATCTCATCTATTGAGCAGCACCCCACTTTTCCTCCATCCCTTGCCCTGCCCCAGTTTCTCCCATCACCCTCAGCACGCCTGGTGCTGCACATACTTATTTCAGCACACCCAGTGGGTGTGCGCTCCATGTGCCACAGAAGCCGAGGCTGCTGCTGTCGTCACTGCTGTATTTTCAGCTTTTAAACAGTGCCTGGCACATCACAGGCCTACAACTAGTACCAATGAATAACTAACTAACTGAAAAAGCCAAGATACTTCCAAGCTATTGTAAAAATAAAGGTTACTATCTCTCAAGATTCAGTCTCCCTGTGAGAGCGAGAATCAGCTTTGACACAGGCCCGGGCCCTCCGTGCAGCGCTGGTCTCTCCCGGGAGCTGCTGCATGACCACAGAAAGGAAACTGAAGCCTAAAAGCCTCCGCTTTTATCACAGTAAATTCTTTGCTGAACATATAATTCACCCTTTTGAACAATCAGGCAGTGTTTGGCATACTCAGTGCTCAGCAGGAACCTGGCGTGATTCTCAAGAACAAGCACTCGCTCCTGCACGTACCGGGAGCAGGGCCATGACCACATCCGGAGACGTTTCCAGGGTGCCGTCCGCGGCGGCGTACACGATGGTGAAGACGTAGGTGCCGATCCACAGCACATCCAGAACTGAAAAACACAGGCCCCGGTAAAGCATCTTCCGTCTGGAACAGCCCCTGTGAGTTGTAAATGTCACACCCCACCGGCAGGACGCTGCTGCACCACCGCATGCTACGCTCAGGACAGACCACGGCTTTACTAAGGGCCCAATTCCACTGACTGACTATAGCACAGGCTCGAGAAGTCCAATTCATCCCAAAGTGGTATTTTTCTCATGGATTATATCCCATGATACAATGGATAAAGTGATAAAGTTACAGTGATAAAGAATTCTAAACAAAAAATCAGGATCCATCTAGTGTCATTCAGCGGGAGAGGCAGGTATCCTCCAGTGATCACGGTTATTGCACTGAGCTGAGATGACAGGAGTGTCACACAGGAGGTACCAACACGCCCCTGCGTAGCCAAGGAGCATATCACATGGTCTGAAACTTCTATACAGAGCACACCTCTTTGGAGATCAGCCCAGGAAGAAAAGCAAATGCGTTACGTTACCTCTGACAGGATGATCTGACTCATAAAATGGTGGGCAAGGAATGACTTTTTTTTCCTGCAAAGTCTGAAAGAGATTTGGAAAATTAGTGTCAGGTGAAACAATTCCCAAATGAACAAAACTCTGTCAGATTCATTTACGTTCCCCCTGAAAGCCACCTGTGTCTGATCTCCCCAACGAGGAGAGTGCACACAGACAAGAGTGGTTGCCCACTTAGAGGACTGGACCCCACAGAAGTCACCTCACATGGTGTCTGGACGTAGGTAGGGAGGATGCCCAGCACAACAGCCCTGGCAGCAGCAACGCCACTGACCGGGTCAGCGCATTACCACCCACACACAGGACACTGGGCCACCATTCAGAAGAATGAGGCAGCTCCGCATGTAACATGCTGGGAGAAAGATCCCGAAAGACTACCATGTTCTTGTTTTTCATAAAGGCAAACTGCAAGCCAGTAAAACTAAACCCACTGTATTATTTTTTTGATAGGCTAATGCTCTAAAAGAGAATAAATCAAATTTCACACAAGTTTTTACTAATAACAACTTTTTCTAATAACAAATTAGAAACTAAACCTTAATCTGAAGCCATGGCCACACAGCACCACCCTGCACCCGAGAACAGTGTCTCACAGAGGGACACATGACGACACACCCCAGCACTGCCGGTGGTGGCCCCTGCACATTCGGGCTCTGCCGATATATGTTGAGGGGTATGGTGAGTAATCTCTCGGGAGCACCACAGGGAGAGGGGGAGGGCAGACATGTAACAACAGGAGGGCCCTTTGCTCTGCTGCCTACAGTTAGAGAATCTCCCCTTTAAGAGGACTCAGGGAGGGCAGCCAGGGCTTCAGAGGAGTTCATGTTATAGTAGCACTACTCCCACTCCTATCCCTTAAGCTGTATCTCACGGAATGGGTTGAGAATATAAAGTTGGGTGTGCAAAGTTTGACTACATTTTATTTAAAAAGCAAAATGAAAGTAATGCACCCACACACGGACTACAGGTTTCACCAGCACCTGAAAGTGGCACGTTTCTGGCAGGTAGGATTTGGTAGACTATTTGGGGGATATGAGAACGTGCAAAAAGTTTTCCATATTAGTCAGTGGTAATAACACTCCCAGTACCAGAAATCAACCTACCAAATTATACCAACAGGAACACTCTACTCTGACACAGTGGGGGAAACATTTATTGGTATCAGCATTCAGAAAGGTCTGGAAAGCTACCACTAAACAGAATGCAGTCATCCTCTGAGAGGATGACTATGGGATTGAAGGGAAAAGTTCCGCTCTTTCTTTGGGTACTGATGAATTTGTGCAAAAAACATACACTGCTTCTCAAGAGAAAAAATACACAGACGTTGGCAAATCACCCCCACAACAGTGTTTAACTTCAGCAAGGAACATTCTGAAGTCCAAGGCAAGACTTACAGGCAGATACTGGACCACAGTTCCATTCTGTTTCCCCACTGCCAGCTGCTTTCCTTTGGGGCTCCAGCACACTGCACAAAGAAGAAAGGCTACCCATTAAAACTGGAGCAAACCCATGAGGTCTGTCATAAGACAGTTACGCAAGCACCACTTCTTGTTGTCACGGACAATGTAAGATCATGCTTACTTGGGAAAGTAAAACAAAGAAAAATCATTTGGCTGCTACAAGTCAATTATGATTTATCATTAGGATACTAAATTGACAATTAAAAATGCTTTTTCAATGGCATATTGCCCAAAATGCTGGAAAGAACAGAAAACTATCATCTGAGGTAAGACGGGAATAAATTAGGTTTTCAAATATCAAGAAATTATTCTTGCTACTCATTTCTAATGCTTCCCCCTCGGGTACAACTGACTTGCAGAGGAACATCCATTCCGATCTAGAAAGCACTGTTCTCAAAAACAGTTCTAAACCAGGGGTCTCGGTGGTGGTGCAAGGGGTTAAGCACCGCACTATGAAGCTATCTGCAGCCTCTGCAGCACGAGTTCGATCCCCGGCCGGCCAGGGAGCAACCCACGTGGCGCAGCAGACCTCTCCTGTCTCGCCCGCCGCTCCCCTCAGCAGTGTATTTCAGTCCGTCTGCCTGTTCTGTTCCCCACTCTGTCCCTGGTGAATCCTCTCACCCCCCTCATCTCTGGCCTGTACCCCAGCTCTTATATGCATAAATAAATACATCTTTAAAAAAAGAAAAAAGTTCTAAACCAGCTGTACCAAAATATTTCTTTCTCCAGAAAACCTAAGCATAGTCAAATCACGTGGATGATTTGGCTTCAAGGACACAAACCGTGGAAATAGAGAATGCTTGCTCCACTTCTACCAAGCAACAACAAATACAGCAAAAAGCCCACTCATTTTCATTTCCAAAAATTAATTTTTAACTAGATTACCATTACTGTATGTCATAGAGTGAGGCCTTTATTACCCACCAGACGTCACTGCTACTGTGGAAGGAAGAGTTGCACACACTTTCACTGTTTCTGTGACTTGCAGGACAGCGATGCTGCCATCGGCCAGACACACCGCCACCATGGAGGGGACTGTGGGGTTCCACTTCATATCAATCACCATGCCTCCTGCATCTTTCAAAAGCTTATGATAGGCAAATGGGCGCTTCTGCTGTTTAGCCTTTTAGAACAAATGCCCAGAAGCAAAAACAAATTAATAAATTAATAACAGAGGGAGACATTTAACAGTCTAAGAAAATTATTGAATATGCACGTTTTCTCAACTTGCAATTCACTTTTCTCCATAACCATGAAAAAAGATTTAGCTCTACCCAACCAAGGACTTGCTACAGATGATTCAACACGCTGTGAAGGTGTGATCAGTTACCGCAGCACCGCGGGGGCTCCCGCAGTAGAATCCATGGGTGCGGGGCCGGCCAACTAGGAGCAGAGGCTAAACTGAAATCCTGGCTCTGCTTAACAGTGCTGGGCCCCTGGGCACTAACTTACTCTTGGGGCCCATCTCGCTAGCCACAAAAGGAGGACAGTAAACTCTACTATGAGGATCCAGCTGCCATGAGCAAGGACAGACGGGTAAAGCACAGCACAGGGCTGGCACCCAGTCAGTACCAATACTCAATACTGCTGGCTATTGTGGTTACTAAAATGCTTGAAATATATGACACAGCACGAGGAGGCCATAGCCCAGGTCAGAGGAATTCTGACACTGATGGACACATCATCCAAGGCTCTCTTGACTCTGCCTCATGTGTAAATAAGGGATAACACCTTAGGTGGCATTATGAGATAATTTCTTCAAGTCCCTTCTATCTCAAAGGTCTAGAAAAAGACTTCTAAAGTCAACCAAGAACTTCAAGGTTGTGATTCAAAACCAGGAAATCTCCTTCAGTTTCCATGTCAACACTCAATTGCCAAGAGCTTACCTCGTTTGAAAATGTGCGGACATCAAAGAAAGCGATAATGGAACCATATTCGCTGGACATCATGCACGCAGACAGGGTTAGGTTATCACAGCTCAGGGCCAGGTGATGTATGGGGAATTTCATAGGGACTAACAAGCTTTGCACTTTATCAACTACAGAAAATGAAAAAAGATAAAGCAGAAAATGAGCCACAACCCCTTTATCCAGAACATAAAACCATTTTGCATCTAAATAAACACCCGGGCCTCCCCCTGGTGGCCTGGGGGCTAAGTCTCAGTGCTATTACAGATGCAGCCTGAGTTCGATCCCTGGCCAGGGAGCAACCCACATGGCACAGCAGACCTCTCCTGTCTCCCTGCTGCTCCCCTCAGCAGTGTATTTTAGTAGACCTGCCTGTTCTGCTCTCCACTGTTTCTGGTGAATCCTCTCAACCCCCTCACCCCCACAACTCTGGCCTACACCCCAGTTCTTTTTTGCATAAATAAATAAAAATAAATCTTTAAAAAGTAAATAAAGATACACACACATCCCTCGGTAACTAATCAAGCATAGAAGTCTATAATGATGCACTAAGTATCCCAGGGACTCTTCTTCATATGACCTGGGGAAACTGTGACTGCTGTTCCTTTTGAAAACAGTAGCCTAGAACTACATTTTTGCAACAATGCTCCAAAGAGTATATAACCTCACTTATTTGGATGACACTGTTGCACCAACTAAAGCTTGTAACAAAACCCTTCTCCAGAGGCAGAACCCAAGTCCAAGTGGGCAAAACAAAAGCATGGCACAGTGGTAAATTCTGCTGTTCTCTGAGCTCAGAGTAACAACTCACTGCAAGAGAAATACAAAGAAGCAAAGAAAATACCTAGAAAGGATTCCAGCGCTCTTCCTGGAAGGTCCTATAGGGATCACCCTTCAGACTAACAACAGTTTTGAGTTTAATATTAGAACGATTTCTTAGGAGAAAACACTACATTAGCACTCCACTCCACGCCTCTCCCTACCATGCAACATAAATCTTTGAACTCTATCAACTGTAAAAACACTAAAAAAAGATAGGCACCTTACCTATCTTATTGGGATCGTCTCCGGGTTTATTCTGAATAAGAAGATTTTTAGTAGGAAAAACTTGCAACCCACTGGCTCCACCAGCAAAGACCAGACCATACTTGTTAGACACGGCAAGCAGACTGGAGCGTTCCTTGGGCAGTTCTTCAGGAGAGTCAAAGATTCTCACTTTCTTCAGTGCTCTAAACTGAAAATCCTGTTGTAAGGGAACAAAACAAAGTCAATGCAAGGAAAACAGTAAGTTCTATCACGTCTGCCATATTCCAACAGAATCACAGTACAACAAATATATATGCTCCCCCCAAAGCAAAGCACTAGGAGGCTAAGTTGTCTTTAAGTTTCCTGTGTATTCTGTGGTGCCTGGCACAGCACTTATTAATACTTGCTGAATAAATGAAAAATGCTTCTTCGCAAAGCTTTCCTTGACTAATCAAGCTCAGAATGATCTTTTCCTTTTCTGAATTCCTAGCTTATGAATAATGAATTTATTTTATTTCTCATAATCTTGTCCTATTTTTAATTATCTCATGACCTAGAGAAGAGCTTAACGAACTGCCTTTCAACATTGTTCATAGTCACTCAACTATACTGTGAGTTCAGACTTCCAGCAGCATTCAACACATAAATAAATATTGAAATGAACACAGAAAATCATCAAATGCCCAAACTGGCTGACCTGCAATGAATGCTAAATAAGACTCCATCATAGAAAAGGGCAAGGAACTATCGATTTCAAATCTTTAAACAGAACTTGATGCTATGAAGACATCAATAAACCACAAATCCAAAACCTTTACCAGGCTACAAGGCCAAGTAGGCCTTAATCTGCTCACCTCTGCAGCCTCTCACAACACCCAGCTTCCCTCTGACAAGTATGCTGCCCAGCCCCACCGAAGCCCAGACATCATTTCTTTCCATTTCTAGGATTAACACCTCAAGGACTTTAAACCTCTTTGGCTTGGGAGCTTCCCTGATCTCATATGAATGTCTGACTCACTTAGCCTTTTTTTTCTTTTTCTTTATTTTATTTATACAATAACCAGGGTACGGGCCAGATGTGTGGGAGGGTGAAAGGACTCACCAGAGACAGAGCGGAAAGCAGAACAGGCAGACTGATGAAATACACTGCTGAGGGGGGCAGAGGGCAAGACAGGAGAGGTCTGCCACGCCATGTGGATTGCTCCTCGGCCAGTGAGGACTGAACCAGCACTGCAGAGTCTGCGGACAGTTCCACAGCGCTGCGCTCAACTGCCTGTGCCACAAGGGAGGCCCTGACTCGCTTAGTCTTAAAACAATAGATTTATAGGCTTTCAAAGGCTATTTACCTCATATAACACAAGAGTTCCACAGGTTTACCAACCACAGTGTTAAATTGTACTATAGTTTACTTTTTTCCTTCAATTCAAAACAAATCTTTAAAGTCAAGGTTCTGGTGAAAAGGAATGTGAATCCACTTTTGCATAAGTTCCAAAAGGGCAAAAATCAAAGACAGTCTTTCTCAGTCTTCATTTGCATACTAGATTGTAATGGTGTTTCATACAGGATCCCTAACACACCCCACATACTCTTTTCCTTTTAGTCAATGTTTAAGACATATTGTCTAAAAGATTAACAGAAATGGGGGCCTCCCCTGGTGGCGCAGTGGTTGAACACTGGGTTGCGAGGCTGCCCACAGCTTCTGCAGCGCCAGTTTGATCCCCGGCCACCAGCGAGGGTCCCACAAAAAAAAATAAATGAATAAAAATAAAAGATTAACAGAAATACTCATTAAGTATTCTGAATACTTAGTATTCGTTAGTACTTAGTTCCAAATGAGTATGGTCACTAGAAATTCACAGCTTTCCAGGTGAGAGCTTACTATGGCTCCATATAAAGACAGAAACATTTCCATTGTTTTTCTGTAATTCTCCTTTAGGTAACCCGATACGCTATCGAAATCTTGGTCACAGGGTGTAATGTTGGTCACAGGCATGAAACAGGCATAGGAGGGCTTCTTTTCTGTCTCAATCAGTAATTCAAATGGAGACTATCATCCTCTGAGTCTGTGATTCCAAAATCTTTTTTTTTGTCATGCCCATCATATCTAAGGATTATGACACACGTGGGTGGCTAAACCCAGCAATTTCCAAGAAGAAACAAAGAATCACTAATATGGTATGGATTACTACTCCCTAAATGCATTTAGGTAATCTATCTGCTGTTCAAATGCCCACAATCTTCCTGCAACTTCCTCCCTTTCAGTTTTGGTTTAAAAGCGGCTTGTTCTCTGGACCTCCATCCTGCCAGAACAATCATCACTGCCCTCTTTAATTTCCTCCTCCAGGGTGACTTTCTGTGTCCTCCCTTTCCAGCTAACTAAAGGCTCAGTAGGGAAAGGTGAACCCTGGCCCCTCGTTTGGCAAGTCTTAATAGTAACATGAAAGAGAAAGAGGACCTTAAAGGGGAGGGGGAAAAAAATCAAAAACCCTTGTTACATGTGACTCTGGGAAGTTACTTTCCGAGCCCCCATGTGAACAACTATTTCACAGGTTGCTGCGATGGTGCCCAGACTGTACGCTCCACTTCTCCAACTGTAACAGGGTGGTCCCCAGGAAAGGGGGAGGTTCCAGGTTCCCTGCCCCACCCAAAAGGAAGGTGGAGCTGAGCAGAGAGAAGAGGCTGCAGAGGAGACTGAGGAAGGAAGGAGCAGGATGGAACCAGAAGGAGCCCTGGAGGAGGCACTTGCAGCCTAGAGACACGTGAAGAAACTGCGCTTGTCTTTTGGTGGTGGACGGGGTGACACAGATGTGGGTGAGACCCGTGGGGAGGTGACCATGGCAGCTTTTATCTTGATGTTGATTTTGCTCTTTTCCTTCCGGGCTTGTCTGGTTGTTTGTAACCCTTTTCTGTGGGTCCCCACTGGAAGATGCCTTAGACTTGTGGCTGGCTTTGGGGCCTAGCTCTGGGCCAATCCCATTTGGATGGAGTTTTACCCACGAGGGGACGGGTCACTTTGGGTGCTTCATTTAGATACTAGATTCTCTGCCTTTCCTGTCTTGTTTCCTAGTTGCATTGAAGTTCCTTCCCATTAAAGCCTCATGTTTTGTGTTGATGCGGCGGATGGCAGAACCCATTTGGAATAGGCAGGCTTGCGGGGTTTGGGCTGCCCCTCTCCCTGCCCTGTAACACGACCACCCCGCGGAGCAGGGGGGGTCACTCGGGTGGGCCGCGCAAGGCCGACAGAGCCGGGGACAGCGCTCCCGGCGGCGCCCGCCGCGCAGTGAGAACCGCAGCGCGGCAAACTGTCCCGGCGGGAGGCGGGGCAGCCGGCGCCCGCGCCTCGCCGCTCAGCGCGCTCCAAGCAACGCCGCGACTAAGGAAGGGAGGAGGCCCCGGCCAGTCTCTGACCTTCATCTCCCGCTCAGGGATCATGGCATCCATCTCGTCTCCCATCGCGCCGCCCTCAGTTGGTCGAAGCAGGCGCCGCCGCCGCCCGTGGCCTGCCCCGCACAGCCCAGGCCGCTCCAAGGCCAACTTCCTTCCCTCCGCACAAACGGCGCGCCGCGAGTGCCGCATTTCCGGCGCGTCCTGTGACGTCACTCGTCTCCTTCCTCGCTGGGTTCCGGGGAGGCTGAGGGACCGCTGTTGTCGCGCGCTACCCCGGCCGCCGCCTTTCATTGGTCCATTCGGGTCTAGTGGGGGCGTGGTCCCGAGGCCGCGCTTGCGCACTGGCGCATCCCGGAACCACGCCCACGTTCGCAGTTGGAGCCGGGTGGGGGGTGCGCGTTGGCCTCGGTCGTGGGCGGGCCCGCCCCGGCGTTGCCCCCTCTTTGTTCCCCACCGGCTGCAAAGGAAGCCGCTGCCGTGGGCGGTTGTTAATGGCTCCCTATTCAGAGACGCGAGGAACTTAACGCATTCCAGGGGCAGCCTTTGAGAGTTTGGAGGGGGCGTGGGCAGGGAAAGCGGCTTAGACGGAGTGGGGCGCCCTCGCCGCGGGACACCCCTCTTCCGCCTGAGCCCAGCCCTGAAAGGGAGTCTGCGGGCACCGGAGACCAACTCTTGGCTATGCACGAGATAATCGTTCCCGGAACGTAGCCTGGAAACTGCGCCAAGACACTTCCACTGTATTTACTCTTCCTGACATCCTGCTCGCCAGGGGCTGTTACTGCCATTTAATTGAGGTGACTGAAGCTCTGAGATTGTTATAGGGCAGCCCCGATATGGAGCGGGTTGCCTGGCTGTGGGTCCTCACCCGCGCGCTTAAAGGGGACTTACGAATACTCCACTACAGACACACACAAAAGGTTAATAAAAGGTTTATTGACAAGGGAAAAGGAAATAAGGTAAATGGACAACTCAGGGAGAAAATAGGGAAATAAAAGGCTTTCATGCGTCCTACCCGATCCACCGACCTGGAAACCCAAAGGCACTCTCAGAGCTGGCCCAACGCTGGGAGCTGGCGGAGAGCCAAAAAGGGGGACCCCTCCAAAGCCCACGTGCCTGGCTTTGTACCCACCTGGCTGCTGAACCCCACCCTCAGGTCCCAGCCACCTTCCCTTGGGTGGGGATGGGATGTGGAGTTCCCAGTGTCTTTGGCTTTGGCCTGGGGTGGGGGTGGAGTCCACAAAGCCTGTATGGAATTAGCTTTAGGACAGCCTTTTCCCCCCTAACTAGATGTTAAGAAAATCCCCTGTGCCCCTTGGCCCAAAAGTGGAGTCGGGTTTAGAATTCCTCTGGTCTGGCTTTGCTGATGGACGACGATGACACAGTCCCAGCTGGACATTCTGCTAGTGGATGCATGCAATAGATGCTCTGAAAGAGATACTTGATTTGGCGTCTGGGTGAGGTGGGGGAGTGAGGAGGGGGGAGGTTACATATTCTCCGACTAATTGGTTGGCAGCAAATTGCTTATCTGCTCCAAGCTTGCTTCTCATTTAAAAAACAAGCATGACATCACCGAACCTGTCTCATGGAGTTCTAAGGAGTCCATAGAGTTCAGTGAGTAGCAGGGTCCAGCACACAGGTCACATTCAGACCGCTGCTATATATGCTTGCTCTTCTGAAGTTGCCCCATTCGGGAACTGTTCCCAAAGTACACCACCCAAGACATTGTAAGTTTGTCTGTTTTATTTCATCTGTACAGGTGACACCCTGCATCACACACACTCATATGCACACTTGCACACACACTTCATCCAGCTGAACTTGCTGGACAGACTTCTTGCTCTTGAGTCAGAGGGACAAAGCCATAGTTGGCTGCCCCTGAGTTGCTTGTTACATTAATTAAATTTGGTCTTTTAGAAAAAAGGCAGCTGAAGTTTTAAGATGAGGTCTTAGCTGAGAGAATGCTCCAGCCAATAGCTGAAACCTGAAAAACTTGCAGAATCCTCCCCTATCCCCACCTTTCCAAGGACCACTCTTCAGACCGCCCCCTTCCTCCAGGGGTTGAGTTCCAAGAAATGGTAAAGGAACTGGTGGGGCTTCCCAGGACACCCCCATCCAATGAGAGAACTCCTTCCTGCCCTTTCCAGAAGCTGAGGACATACCCGCCTGCTCTCCTCCTTTGAGGCTGCTTCCTGCTGTCCAATAAACTGAACCCCTTTGAAATCACGTTGGCTCTGATGTCCCTGAGTGAGAGAGACAGGGCACTCTGGCTGTGGCAGGCTGTCAAGGAAGGCTGACCTTGCTCAGAGGTCTCTGTCCCAGAGAGGTGATGCAGTGGGAAGGGGTGGGGACAGGCAGTAGCTCATCTAAAGATCTTGGGGAAACAAAAGGCAAGGGTGGTGGTGAGATTTTATATTTACAGGACGGAATGTTTTGCTGGAGTTTAAACTTCAACTAGGCCTGTGCATTTGAAGTAGCTCCTTAGGCTGAAAATCAGCCAGTCATGGGCAAATTAACTTGCTCCTGAACTGGAGACCAGCAGGTTAACCCAACCTGGCCATTTCCCCACCTACATGCTTCACTCCCTCAAATGCTGTCCGGCACCTGTGATTGTGGGGCACTGAGGAGCCTTGGGGAGTCCCCCGCTGGCTCTAGCCTCTAACAGCTCTGAAACCTATCACTTAAAGTTTGTGACTTACTCAACCCTGGGCTCAGCTAAGCCCCCCCAGGATGACAGGATGACAATGTCATCACTCCGTATCCCCCTTCTCTCATGATCATCTCACTTGTCTGGATCTGATTCCATCCTAGACTCTGAATTCCTAAAGACTGTCCATTTCACCACTGTGTTCTCGGCTCCTGGCCCACAGCGGGCGTGTTATAAATATATTAAATGGGTGGATGCATCAAAGTTCTGATCTGGCACAGGAAGGGCTCCAGCACACAGATGGGGCCAAGGCTGGCTCCCTGCTCAGCCTCGATAGGATCCAGTGGGTCGTCCTCCTGTGTGAGTTCTGAGAAGTGACTTGGTCAAGAAGACGTGGGGAAGGTATAACTACAGAGGTAGGCGTGGGTCCTGCAGACTTGCAGGGCAAGACTTGGCCCCCGGCCGGTCCCCTTGTATCGACCTAGGAGATGATCCCTTCTGACCACATCCCTTGGCTGTTGAAGGAGGCAGCCCAGTAAGACAGGAGCAGGCAGGGCATTAGGATTCCTGGGCTCTGGTCCAGACTCTCCCATCTGCAGATCAACCCTGACCTTGGGCAAGACACTTAATCCCAGGAGACCACCTGTGAAATGAGAGGACTGGTCCAGCTAGCCTCCAGGGGGTCAGGGCTCTAAAACCCCATGAGTCCATAAAAGGACCAAGATGACCCCAATCCAGTCCCCAAGCTCAAGGTTCTGGGTGATTTGGAAATGCAGAGGTGAGTAAGGAAGAGAGACACAACACGATCAGGACAAAGTGGGGTGAGGAAAAGACTTAAAGCTTATAATAGGTGGTCAATAAATATCTGTTGGGTGACTGAGTGAATGCATGAATGAATGGTGTATAAGGTGGGGAGCAAGTGGGGGAGAATGGTCATTTCCAGCAGACAGGGGTTGTCATTCTAGTCCCTTTTCTCAGCTCCTGGCTCAGCAGTGGTGCTCTTGGCCATGAGCATCTTATTCCTCTTGCTCCTGTCCTGTTATCCTCAGCTTCCTCCTTGGCTGAGCACACCCCAACCCCAAGGTCCCTGGCTTCCCATCTAGTTCTGTAGCCTTTTGCTGCCCCAGCAAGGAATAGGGGGGCTGTACCCATCATATGCACCCTGTCTGAGCTGCCTAGGAAGGTATGGCTGGGGAGGGGGGGAGGCTAGAGGATTCCTTCTGGAACCTTCTTGAAAGGTTGAAATGGCCAAGCCCCCATCCTTCCCTCCTGTCATCTCACCAAGGATGAGAAGCATGGCCTGTGGGGATCAGCTGGAGGCAGTGTAGCGTCCCATGGCCACATCCTGGACCACCCCAGAGCACTGGAATTAGAGCTGCCCAAGGACACCCCAGTGGGGCTCTGCAGCCCTGTTCCTCTTACTCCAGGGTCAAATGAAAGTGGCTCAAGGTCTCCACCAGGGCCAGGCTGCTCAGCCTGGACTTAACCCAGAGTCCTCCTTGAAAACGCACAGTGTAAGCTCCAAGCTGGAAACACAGCTTCCAGTCTTCCTGCCCGCCCTATGCCCTCCAGTGTTCTGCTTTGGTGTCAGCCCTTCTGCGCGGACAGGGGAGAAGAGGGGAGAAGAAAGGAAGGGGCCCCAGGGACCTTGAAGGCAGATAATTTGTGCTTTGCAAAGAGATCATTAATTCTGCCCAGTGAAAACACAAATACAACGACCAAATGAAACGAGACAAATCACGGTGGGAGGGTGGGGGGAGGCAGGGAGGGCAGGGCAGCTGGGGCAGGTCTGCTCAGGGCAGGCTGGCAATGTCTCTCTCAGGAGGGGGCCCAACCGGCTTGGGGCTGCTCTCCTTGGCTTTTCCTTCAAACATCATGACTCTGGTTTGGATACGGAGGAAAAAAAAATATATAACAGAATTAGGACCCCTTCTGCCACACAGGGAAACCTATCCCAGCCCTCACACCTGCGGGGTCGCTGCAGAATGCCCACAGGGTCATTCTCCAGAAGAGTCTTCTCAGAAACCCATGATGACAGAGGGCAAAGCTGAGGCACACTGGCTGTGTGACCCCTCAGGGCCCCCCAGCAGGCCGAGACTCCAGATGTGACTCCTACGCCATGGGTCTACCCTCAGCAAGCAGCCTAGGCCACAGCTCTGCTTAAAATCCCTTCTCATCTTCAAAAACCTCCCCATCCACTGCTGTTAAGTCTGAGGGTAGAGGACAGGGTCTCAGCGTGAAGCCTCTAGAGGGCCTAGATGGCAATTCCAGGCCTACTATTTCCCAGCTGGAGGATTCCAGCAAGACCTTGAAGCCATCTGCAGCAGGTTGCCCACATGCTCACAGCCCGCTGGGCTCTGCCCGCTCCGCTGGCTTTAAATCCCATCCAAAGGGAGACAGTCTAGGACCTCCCCAGTGGTGCAGCGGGTTGAGCGCAGCGCTGTGAAGCTGTCTGCAGCCTCTGCAGAGCGGGTACGATTCCTGGCCAGCCAGGGAGCAACTCACATGGTGCAGCAGACCTCTCCTGTCTCCCTGCTGCTCCCCTCAGCAGCGTATTTCGGTCCTTCTGCCTGTTCTGCTTCCCGCTCTGTCTCTGATGAATCCTCTCACCCTCCCACACCTCTGGCCTGTACCCCAGCTCTTTTATGTATAAATATATAAATTTTTGGAGAAAAAAAAAAAAAAGAACCTGGCCCAGTGAGTCACACATGTTTCCTACTGGCTGGGGAGGGCCGAGGTGTCCAAACCAGGGGTCTCCGCACGGTGGCCCCACGAGGGCGAGCTACTCACAGCTTGAGCACGGCCGAGCGCTTCCCCAGCATCATGTTCACAAAGTCCCGGTAGGAGATGGTGTCGCTGACACCGCCTGTCACCTCGGAGATCATCTTCTTCATCTCCAGGTGGGTCTTGGGGACTCCGAGCTTCTCCATCATCCTCTTTAGCGACATCAGGTCTGCCAGAGGAAAAGCAAGCCCATGTGGTGGAGACAGGCTGCTGGGTGAGGGCGCCGCCACCAGGCTTCCCCGAAACCCAGGCCCAGAAGCAGCCCCTCCTTGGGACTGCAGTTAACAGGCTTCCGCTGCCAGAGAGGTGGAGCCCGTCAGCCTGCCCTGCTCTCTTTGGAGGCCGTGGACTAGGTTAGGGACGTGGGCCACTAGCGATGGGACAGATGTGTGTTGGAATCCAGCTCTGCTATTCCTGGCTGTGGGGCCTGGGGCAAACTACTCAACCTCTCTGAACCCTGCTCCCACCAGTGGTGACAAGGGTTGACGGGGTCCTTTGCTGTTGTTTTTTTTTTTTTAAAGATTTATTTATTTATGCATACAAGAACTAGGGTACAGGCCAGAGCTGCGGGGAGTGAGAGGACTCACCAGAGACAGAGCGGGGAACAGAACAGGCAGATCCATTGAAATACACTGCTGAGGGGAGCAGCGGGGAGATGGGAGAGGTCTGCCACACCATGTGGGTAGCTCCCTGGCCGGGGATGGAACTCAGGCCGCAGTAGCTAGCGATAGCTTCATAGTGCTGAGACTTAACCCCTTGCACCACCAGGGAGGCCCTGATAGGGTCCTTTGGAGGAAGAGGCCCAAGGCAGGTGCTCAGGAACAGCCGCTGCTCTGGACTCTCGCTAAGATCTTTGCTGCTCCCCGAGGTCTGGGGGCTGCTCCCTGACTGCTCCTGCTCCCCCAGAAGTCACTGCCACCAAGGCAGGGGCACGGAGTCAGCCTGAGACAGGCATCAAGTCCCTCTCCGGGCACGGCTGCGGCTTCTCCTCGCCTACCTCTCCCTCCTGCCATCCCAGGGCGCCACCTCACCAGGAGGGGGAGGGCACCAAAAATATCCTGGGCAGCAGGAGTACCGACAAAAGAACAGAGGTCAAGAAAAACAAGGGAAGCACCCAAAAAATCATTTCAACCCCATGAGGTGCTGCCTCTGACCTCAGGCTCCAGAGACCTGAGGCAGTTTCCTTCAGATTATTCAGCGGACAATGGGTCAGCAAGGGGTAGCAAGAAGGGTAGCCAGGGGAGCTGCACCAGCTCACCGGAGAGGCAGGGCTGGTGCCAGACCCTTCGGTGCCAGGAAGTCCAGAGTATTTCAAAGAAAGCAGGACAGCGCTCTGCAGGAAGAAGTGAAAGGTCTTCCTCTCGCTGCTGGCCAGACGCGAAATTGGCAAGACCTTTCTGGAAGGCAATTTGGCAAGTCGCCTCAGAAGCCTTTGACCCAGACTGTCTGATTCCTGAGATTTACTCTAAAGAAATAGCGATGTGGACAAAGGCACTCTTCAAGGGATCATCAATAATGTCACACCTGGAAGCTGTCTAGATGGCGGTGCTAAGGGGCTGGAGGCGGAAGTCACGGTCCATCCCCAAGTGGGCACGGAGCTGCCACCGGTTACATTCAAAAGAGAAGTTAATCATCTCAAAATACTCCCAGTGTTAAGTTACATATTCACAAAAGGAGGTTCTAAAATGCTATAAAGGGCCTCCCTGGTGGCACAAGGGGTTAAGACGCAGCACTAGGAAGCTGTCTGCAGCCACTGCAGCATGAGTTTGATCCCCAGCCAGGGAGCTACCCACAGGGCAGCAGACCCTCCTGTCTCCCCGCTGCTCCCCTCAGCAGTGGATTTCAGTGGATCTGTCTGTTCTGCTCCCCACTCTGTCTCTGGTGAATCCTCTCACCACCCCCCCCACTTCCGGTCTGTGCCCCAGTTCTTGTATGCATAAATAAATAAATCTTTAAAAACAAACAAACAAATAAAATGCTATAAAACAGCGTTCATGATCTGAACAGAACAGAGGGCGCCAACGATACATCAAGTTCGAACGGTTATTTCTGGAAGGTGGGGCTGTGAGATGCTTGTCTTTGTGCTTTGCTAAACGCTTTATGATGAAGTGCATTACTTTGATAATGCAAAAATAATTTCAAAAGAAGAAAGCAATGATCAAAATATTCAAAAGAAAGAAGGACGAGGGGATGGAGGAGGAGCAGAAAAGCTGGGGGTGACCGTGGCCGCTCAGGGTGAGCAGAGGAGGGGGAAGCTGGGCAACAGGCCTGCCACCCCAACCGAGTGCCCCTGGAAGTCGGTTCACCTTTCTGGGCCTCAGTTTCCTAATTTGTAAAATGGAGACAATTAAAGTGGCCTTGACCACATCCCTGGCGTCCACGTTCAGGGCAAGCTGTGGTCTTGAACATACATGCCTGGACAGCAGGACGGCGAGGGACGGTGGGAGGGCGGCCTCTGCACACGAAGGCGCCTTGACACTGCAGGACAGCCCGCAGGGAAGGGCCGGTTGGGGACAGAGGCGGCACCCAGCCCGGGCCATGGTGTTGACTGTCTACTTTGGTGCAGCCTGAGCATCTCAGCATGGCCCTCTGACCCACGTCCGGGGTGGGCAGGGAGGTGGCGAGTTGGGAAGAAGTGGGAGAGTTTGGGGGTGGTGGGTCCCGGGCAGCGGCAGAAGAGCCAGGGCTGCTCAGCTGGCTGGGTTTATGGGGAGAGTCGTGCACCTGTTCACACCGTGAGAGCACCTGCCCTGCCCCCACGCCGTGGGACTCGCACCCCCTCCACCCTGCCCAGCCACCCCAGGCCTCACTCACCAATTTCGCCTTCATTGTTCAGGTCAAACTCCATGTACTTCTCTGGGAATCCAAGCAAAAACTGGCATGAGCTTGGAAGTAGGGTAGCCCCCGAGGACAACTCATCAGGTCCTTGGGAGACCCCACCACCCTCCTCACCCCACAAGTCCTATCCATCTCCCCCTGTTTGTGCCCTGGCCCACAGACAGCGGGGAGGGGAGCTTGGGGGCTGGGCTGACCCTCCACGCAGGATGGCAGCTGCCTTCTCCGGGGTCCGCACTGGTGCAGGCGGGCTGCAAAGTGACAGGTAACTGGAATCCATTCCCAGCCCTGGAGCTCGGGATTTGTGGGCTGGGGGCAGGAATAGCTGTGCTTGCAGTGTCCCAGGTGTTTGTATAGGCAGCCAGATGTGGGAAGTGCTGGTTTAAGGAATCCATGTGGTTCTGAAACTTTGGGGGGCCGTTCTCCCAGGAGAAAGGCCTGTGTTCCTGCCTTTGATCACGGACCCTCCCCTAAACCTCAACTAGGGACAGCTGCCAGGGTGTCCCAAGACCCTCCAGTGGGGAAGGAGGGGACATCAAGGGTGAGCTGGGCATCTGGACAAAGGCACAGGCCCTAGGTCTGTTCTGTCCACTGCCGCCACTTGGCAGCCCGAGCCCAGGAAGGGAAGGCATCCCTCAGCTTTGCTCCCCTCTGGGCGGCTGGGTGGGGTGATAGGCCAGGGATGGCAGTATCTTTGTTCTAGTTCCTTTCTTTCCTTTTCCTGTTTAACGTCAAAAGCACCGCTGTGTAGTGGTTGAGAGCAGCGGCTTTGGAGGGAGGCCAGTGCAGGGTCAAGCCCCACGTCTGCCACAGGTGAGCTGTGACCTCAGGCAAATCAGCCCACCTCTCTGGCCTGAGTTTCTTCAACAAGGAAAGTTCTTCCTCCTGGCTGCATCGGGATGGTTGGGGAGCCCCAGGTTTTCATGTGCTTCCCTCCAGGTCACGGCTCCACAAAGCCTTAACCCTCACTCCTGCGCAAGGACAGTGTAGCCGATGGCAGCAGAGAGGCACTTGGCAGATTCTGTCTCGGAGCCCGTAGGATGCCCACCTTGTCAGGGCTGTGGGGTGGGGGGATGTGGGCTCGGGGCCTCCCGGTGGTCCTCCAGCACGCCCAGGGTTTGCACCCTGTACGGTCTCGGCAGGAAAGGTGGGCCCGCCCTGCTGCTGGGCGCCCGGCTCCTCTCCCTGCAGCCGCTGGCTGGGAACCAAGTGCCAGGCCCAGAACAGAGGGACCTTTATGCGCCCCCTCCCAGCTCGGATGCGGGCCCTGTTTCCTTTTCATCCCGTGCAGAGGGATTCAATGGGCAGAAACTCTGCCCCCTGCCCTGCTGTGGGGACACAAACGTCCATTCTCCACAGGGGCTCCTGAGACGCTGCGCGCGGAGGGGGAGCGGCCGGCCCCACAAAGAGCTGATTGTGTGCTGGGCCATGGAGTAAGGGCCTGGGCCAGGCGGCCAGGAGCCAACCTGGGCCTGGCAGGGGGAGGGGAGAGGGGCAGGCCAGGGCCTGCAGGCTGGGTGTCGGGGGAGATGGCCAGAGGCAGGTGGAGGGCCTGTGCCCCAGGTCGGGCACCCTGTCTTGCAGCCTGCCGGGAACAGTTCAGGAGGACGCAAGTCTTCAGATGCAGCCTGGCCACGGTGGGGTGGGGGATTGCGGAACCCTCCGTCTCGGGGGCCAGCTTGTGAGGCCTTACCTTTGAAGGCCACAAGCTTTTCCGGCAGGTTCTCTTCATCGCTGTACTTCTGGTCACAGAGGAACTCCTACAGAGGCGAGAGGACAGCACTGAGCCAGGGGCCAGCGGGCAGAACTCGCCCGGTGCCTCATGTCCATCTGGGTGGCTGGCTGGGCCTGTCCTGACAGGGCGGGAGCTCAGCGTGGGGCTGGCCCTCAGGCAGACCTGCCGGGCCCTGAGGGAGGGAGGAGGAGGCTCTGCTCGGAAGCCTGGACACCCGCACAATCCCCATCACCAGTGCAGGGCTCAGCGGGCCTCCCCGCAGGGCACCCCGGCTCTGGGCCCCATGAAGCTATGCGCCCCAAGACAGGCCTGTGGCCCATGTTAATGTCTTAGGCGCGTGACTTGAGAGAGTGAATTCCTCTCTGGATCTCTCAGGTTTATCTGCCAAGGAGGGGTAATTATCATAACTCCCTCGTCCAGGCTCCAAAAAGCGTGAGTTTGACTGCTGGCGTCTAGCCAGAGCCCTGAACAGCGGCTGCCTCTGCTCCCGCCAGAAACTATTGGGACATGCAGACATGATCCTCTCCCCTGAGTCCTCACCTGTAACACAGGATGCCCCTCCCCCTCAACGCTTGAAGGGATTCCAGGCCTTTCAGAACCAGACTGGGGCGGGGGTGGGGATGGGGGCGGGCGGCACAACCAACAGCCTCCAGCTGAGAGCAACCCTCACGGCACCCACCTTACAGATGGGGAAACTGAGGCTCGCACCACCCATGCTTCCACCGTCTCCTTTACAGCCGCAGCCTTAACCCTGACACTGCCTTAAAGACAGGCAGGCGGTGGCCATTCGTTTGGCTTTAAAGCAAAAAGCTACCCTTCGTAAGCACGGCGCCAGGGCCTGCTTGTCCTGCCGCGACCTGGAGTGACCACGGACCCCGTTTCAGGTGGGCAAGGAGTGTCCACCTAGCCCAGACCCCAAACACCCCCCCTTCTCTGCACCTTGCTTCTCATCACGGAGCTGAGTGCACGGGCACAGCTCACTCACTCGCTCACCCACATTCACACTCTCTCTCTCTCTCACTCCCTCTCAGTCACTCATTCACGCACCCACGCGCTCTCTCTCTCTCTCTCGCTCACTCACTCAACCATGTCTGAAGAACCACACTCCTGGGCATCAAGGAACAGGTGAGACAGAGGAAGATAACATTCTTATCTTAAAATGACAGGAAGTCCATGTTTATAAAAGAACATTAGTTGCTCTCCAGGTCTATCGCCCAATGCCTAGATTCCTGCCGCCTGTCCTGCTGCAGGATGCCCAGGACTGTGCCCACACACCACCTGGCCTAGGCTCACTCCCTTCACAAGCCTCAAACACTTCAAGTAGAATAGAGTGACCGGAAGCGGAATGGCTATAAAGCCCCGGGGTTGGGACGTGGGTCCAGTCCGCTCAGCTACGTGAGGGCACGCGGTGCCACCTGCCAGGCCCCGGATGGGAGGACCTGTGAGCTCGTCCTCAGCTCTCAACAGTGGTGGGTGTTGGCTGTGCAGCGGGATAGTGTCCCTCCCAGGATACAAGTTCCCGCGAGTTACTCAGTGCCCGTGACCAAGGAGACACCGACCTGCTGGCGCCCTTGCCAGGTTGGGGGCTTTGATTGCCCCTTGCTTTTGGCAGGCACTGGGTCAGCCCACACATCCTCACAGCTACTGCGATCCCGCGGACCAGAGCCGTTGAATAGAACATGGACTGTCCCCAGGCCGGAAGCTCAGGGTGGGTTTGGAGCCGGCGCTATGGCCGTGTCCGGCTGCTGCTGCGTGGAGGGCACCCCGGAGCCCCGGGCCCAACCGGCTCGGCCACCGCCAACTTGGGGACCTCATTACCAAGCGTCCAGCACGGCCCTCCCCCACTTAGCCGGGGCAGGACGGTGCTCCTGCAGCCTAGAAGGCGGCCCTCTGTCTGGCGGGCTCTGCCCAGGAGCCCCCACGCTTGGCCCCCCACTCACAGTGCTCTCCCACGGTCGTCCCACCCACTCTGACCAAAATAGGACAACTACCTCTTGTCTGTGACCCTGGGCAGACCAGGCACCTCCCAGGGCCACAGACCCCCTCTGTCCAGGGGAGGGGCTTCCAGACTTTGGGCTAATACAGAAACAGATCCAAAATATTATCAATGGTGTGTGTGTGTGTGTGCGTGTGTGTGTGTGTGTGTGTGTGTGTGTGTGTGTGAAGAGAGGGCTGCCAAGTTTTTATTTTGCCAAATAAAGACTAAACAATGGCCACTGACAGTGTCTGGGAGTTCAGAAAAGGCCATATGGTAGAGTAGGCAGCTTGTAGGCTTGATGTTTTAGTGGGATCCACTCAGCACCCTGCACAGCGCCCTCCCACGTCCCTTCACATGGCCGTGAACTGGACAGCGCTCATGGGGAGACACAGACGCACAGGTGAGTTTATGGGAGAAAGAGCTGGGGTTGGCCAGAATCCTGCCCCAGCCCAGAGTCTGTCTGTACTGTGTGGCTCCAAGAACCCAGGGGTGGGACACAGGGGCAGGACACAGTCCCTGGTCTTGGAGACAAATCACACACGAGGGCGAACCAGACCCACCAGGCTGTGACAGCACGAGGACGAGAACGCAGCAGGCGATCTGGGGAGGCTCCAAGCTCCCAACCGGGGCCCGACCCGACCCACCAGGTTCTCCGCAGGCACAGCAGCCCTGGATTTTGTCTCCCCACTGTTTTGTGCTCCACACCTCCCCACAGAATGACCTCAGCACCCTGGCCTCCTTCCCATGTCTCCCCCACGCTCGGTTTGCTCCTGCCTAGGGACCTTTGCTCCAGCCGAGCCCCCTGCCTGGGGGCCACGTCTTCCTCACTTCCTTCAAGCCTTTGCTCAAACGTCGCCTTTTTGGGGAGGCCAGATTGCTCTACCCTGCCCGCCACAGCCCCCAGTTCCACTTCCAATCTGCCTTTAACGTCTTTTTAACCCGCAGGATCAATCACCTCCTAACACAACTGACAATTCACAGTGGGATTGCTACCCAGGCGTCGTCCACTGTCCTCCTCCCCCGGCTAGGATGCAAGCTCCGTGGACCAGAAGCTCAACAAATTTGCAGAATGAATGAGTGAACTGGGACTCGGAGAGGGTACGCCACTTGCTCAAAGCAGCACAGCGAGCGACTGAGCTGGGGTCTGACTCCACAGCAGCGGCCCTGCACAGAGATGGGGAGTGGAGTGATGGAGGTTGGAAGGATGCTGGGCCGGGTGGAGGCAGGCCCTTGGTTCTAGGAGGACCTGCTTACTGGCTCATCCCCTCTCAGGTGCCAAGTCCCTAGCAGTGCCCAGCACATAGTAGGTGCTCAAGAAGCAAGTGCTGAATGACCCAGAAGCCAGTCATCAGCCAGAATACCTTTCTCCACTCTAACCACTGGACTATGTGGTTGAGCACGGATGTGTGACAGAGCCCTGAGGGCACCCGGAGGTCAGAATTCCATTCCTCCTTAGAGCCAAAAATGACAAATGCTTGAGCCTCTGAGCAACCGGGGGTGGGGAAGCAGCTGACCAGTTCCTGTTTGAGTAGGCAGCCTCGCGGACCCAGGCTTAGGGCAGCTGTGTGGACCAGGCCTTTGGCAGGAAGCCTGGGCGGCAGGCGGCGGGCACTGGGCACAGCAGCTCTGCTGGTGAGCTTTGGATTCCTGGTTGCAGCTCAGGTACAGCCCCTGGCATCCTGTCTTGGGCACCCTTCCCTCTCTCCTTGTCCAACCTCAAGGCACAGACGTGCGGGGGCTCCAGACTCCAGGACCCCTGGCTGCCCTGACTCCAGGTCTCCTGGCAGAGGATGTGGGGGTGGGAGCTCCTTGAAAGATTTAGAAGAAAAGCAAAAGAAGAAACAAAAAGAGCCAGGCTGGGGCTGGAAAGCCTGGGTTTGAATCTGCGTAGTAGCCGTGTGATAACCACTTCGTTTGTGCCGCAGCTGCCCTGTCTGCAGGAAGGCTAAACACATTTCATAGCCCGGGCCTGAGGATTACGGTACGTAAGCAAATACTTGGAAAGCGTTTGACACAGCGCTAGCACACATAACCTCAGCTGTGTGCTGTCATCTTCTGACCTTTTCATCCATCAATCAACTGTCACACACACACCCCCACCCCACCCCCACCTCTCCCCAGCAGCTCATCCATCGGCCAGAGCTTCACTTGACTACTACAAAAATTAGGGACCCGGTTGTGACTTCCCGTTTCGACAGGATCGTTACCCTCATCGGACAGATGGGACAACTGAGGCCCAAAGGTCACAAAATTTGAACGAGTCCAGGTTTCCCTCCCCTCACCACCCCCAGCTCTCTGCTCCAAGTGAGGACAAAGTGGTTTCTGGGCAAAGACAGTCAGTCCTGGGAGCAAGCTCGCCCCTGGGCAGGAGCCACCGTTTTCCCCCCTAGGAGGAAGGGGTGTCTGTGTGGGTGGTAGTTCACCCTCCCGCCTCTTTGCCACTCCAACCCACTGACCCCAAAGACTAGTTTTTGTGGCTGCAGAAACTGCTAATGAGCCTCCATGGGGGGAGGGGTGAAGCGGGTCCTGGGGCTCCCAGGGGCAGATTGGAGGCCTCAGTGGCCCAGACCCTGGCAAAGAAGCAGGAAATGTAAGTCTGCAGGAGACTGGGGTGGGGACAGGACACCCTGAGTGGAGCACCCCCACTCCGAGGTAGTGCCAAGGGCCAGCACACCCATGGCCAGGCCCAGGAAGACTGTGAAAACATCCAGAATCCAGCCAGACTCCTCACGGCTTCCAGTTTGGCCTCTGTGGTCACCAGCTGGGGAACCTGAGACTCCAGGAGGGAAAGATCTTGCCTAAATCCACAGTGGTCAGAAGTCCCCAGAGCGGTGGGAGGACGGTTGAACGGCTGTCACACCCAGCCCCCGATCCTTCTAACCCTGTGACTCTGGACAACTGGCTTGACCCCTCTGGTCCTCCGTTTCTTCATCAGTAAAAGGGGATCATAATGACCGAAACTGCGCACTGGGTGAGTGTGAGGATTAAAGGAGCTAAGTGCAGAGAAGCCACACCAACACAGCTCTCTGTCCCACGCTGTGCCACCA